AATGAAATGTGAAAACACTGTTTTTCGAACGGTTTTTCAACTTTGAACGCGTATTACAGCAATATGGATAAGAGCACAGGAATGTGTATATACTTGCTGGATTCCCCAAACATTCAGCTTTCATATGCATATATTGGATTCATTCTATCTATTATAGTTTTCGAGTAAATCAATGAAATGTGAAAACACTACTTTTTCGAACGTTTTTTTCAACTTTGAACGCGTGTTACATCAATATGGATAAGAGCACAGGAATGTATCTATACTTTAGCAGATATTTGGAAAATTGCTCACTGCTACTAATATTTGCGCCTCCACTTAGACTAGTTCAAACCTCCCCAGAGAGGCTTGACGCACCGTTTGGAAAACGCTGGTTTATACTCTTCATTTGATAATTTAAAATAAACAAACATGAAATTGTTAAATAATAAATACAGAATAATGTTCATTCAAGTTCATTAAACTTCTTTCGTTTCAAACTTTTATATAATATTAGTTTTTGAATCATAAATTTATGCATTTTGTTCAAATTATACAAAATGCACAAAAGCTAATCATCAAATTGTTAACATTAATTATGAAATATGAAAAAAAATAATGCGAATTTAATAAGATTACTAAAGTCAACAAAACTTTTAGTGTATATGTTTTTAACAAATGTTCTGCAATTATGAAAGACATAAAAAGCGTAATCATAAATCACAGGCCACGCTTCGACTTGAAATAGGAATTTTTCAAGCTGATATTCCTTATCGTGCAATTAATTTACACATAATAAAAAGTGTTTAGTTTAGTTCACGTTTATTTTGTCACTTATTTTGCAAATAAATGATTGTATCATCAACATTTGTAAACTTGACTTATTTAGTTAATTTTTTCTATCAGCAATTACTTTTACTTCAAAATAAATCTTACTAATTAAAAAAACATACTAATGTTAAGTTTTGTTATGTCTTCAGTTTCGATTATGATGTATGTACAGTGGAACCTCGCTTAACGTTTCAAAATTTCCGGATTTTTACTCGTATAGTGAAACATGAAGAAGGCGCGCAATCCGGGACTTCTCTTCTCATCGTCACTCGTTAAGCAAAACGTCGCTCGTTAAGCGAGTCATTTTTGCTACTTTGTTAATTTTTTTCTACCAACAATTACTTTTACTTAAAAATAAATCTTACTTATTCTAGAATTAAGATAATTAACAAAAAAACAAGCTAATGTTAAGATTTCGTTTAGTTTTGTTATGTCTTCAGTTTCCATTATGATGTATGTACAGTGGAACCTCGTTTAACGTTTCAAAATTTCCGGATTTTTACTCGTATAGTGAAACATGAAGAAGGCGCGCAATCCGGGACTTCTCTTCTCATCGTCACTCGTTAAGCAAAACGTCGCTCGTTAAGCGAGTCATTTTTGCTACTTTAAATGAGTTTAAATTTCCGGATTTTTACTCGTATAGTGAAAAATATTAACAAATACACATGATATGATGAAGAAGGCGCGCAATCCGGGACTTCTCTTCTCGTCGTCACTCGTTAAGCGAACCGTCGCTCGTTAAGCGAGTAATTTTTGCTCGTTAAGCGAGATTCCACTGTAAATGTGTTTCTTCATACCTCTTCATAAATGATCATATAAATATTACCTGAGAATGGGCCAAAGGAATGGTGTTTTTGAACTCGATCCAAGTGACCACCTCAGAGCAAGGCGGCGTCGTCAAAGAACCACCGTACGTGAAGTAGATGGACCTATTCTTCATCAGCATCTGATCGAACGTGGGCATGTTCGTCATCGTCAAAGAAGTGTTCGCCTCTTCAATATCAGGCAGAACCTCAGTAATCGCATTGTAGTTGCTGTTCTCAACTTCAGCATTCTACAAGAAAAACAAAACAAAAACCCAGATTACACAACGTCCAAACCGCATCGCACGCTCGATAGAAAATCTCATTAGCATCGACATAAGAATTCAAATTGCATTAGAATTACAAACTTTGATTGATGTTGCATCTTCTGCGTCTCGGAATTAAAAAAAAAAAGAAAAAAAAACAAGTTTGTGTATGAAAGTCATATCCATTAATTGATCATTAAGTGTAGTTGCGGTGAGGAATCATTCACTTGCGGTCACCTACCGTGCGCCAAAAAAAAAAAACCAACAATCATACTAATAACAGTCGACCTCCTGCATTGTTTCAAATAAGCAAGTAAACGAAATCGTCCTTTCGATGAAAAGAAATGTCGTTCCTTCGCGCAAATATTCTCTGCACGCTCTAATTATCATTAAATTTCGTCAACTGCGACGGTTCTTTACCATTGACAATATTGTTACGTATGCGTATTAAAAATCAATTATTGCTCGAAAGCGAAACACGACAAAAAAAAATTTAAAAAAAAATTGTACACAGTAGTAACATATCATAATAATGCGACGACGAACACGAAATTTCGCGTTACGTAATGTAACCTTAGCCCGAGTGTTTGTGTGTGTGTACTTAGCGAGTTGAATAACTGAAATTTTTCCGTTTTGTTCGATTCGCTCGGAGCGTGCAGGAACAAATAAATCCTTCGTTAGCAATGCAGATTGATCAGGAAAGTTTCTCACACACCGCCTAGTTTTTTATTTTTTTTTAATTTTTGCATAAGTTACATGTTATTAACGCCAATTACGAGTCGATTATCAAAAGTGTATGCAAATTGGAGTTAATTTCTGTCCGCTCCGACTCACCGAGTACAGGAAGGATAAAACGGTCAAACCGTCCGGATGATCGATTGCATCTTGGATCGTCCCGTAAGCCCTCTGGAAAAATACCATGTGCAATTCCATAGGATAACTGAAAACAATGATATTCCATTAGCAACTCACTTAGTATACAAATGTATGCAGTTTATAAATCATCATAATATACTACATATGTATTCCTATCGTGCAATTAATTCACTTTAATTGTTCAAGATTATTTAATGATTTAACATTTTTAATTAATTATATACGGTACAATCTAATTAATTAAATAATTCCTTTATAAAATACCATGTAATTACGACGAAAAAAGAAATTTAAGAAATGCGATACATTCTCTTATTCTTTTAGTTATTCAATATTTTTATAGCAATAATAATTATACAAATTAAAAAAAAAAACCGTTATAATGGACTTTATTTTTATAAAAACCGGTTTAATAAAGTAAATATTTTCATTCAATTTACAATAAATATAAAGAAACTGTAAAGAAATTATATGAATTTTAACGAAAATGTGGTCAGTGTATTCATTTTGTTTGATTAAATGTCAGTGCGTGTCAATGATAAATGTCATTGTATAATGAATGAAATACAAATTGAAACAATGTTTGGTATATTGACAGTTGTCACTGACTTATGTCATTTAACTAATATGTTCTTTAAATACAATACAATAAATATATAGAAAGTTTAAAGAAATTAGATGAAGTTTAATGAAAATCTGGTAAGTGAATTCATTTTGTTTTAATAAATGTCAGTTTATGTCATTGCATAATGAATGACAAACAAATTGAAGCGATGTTTAGTATATTGACAGTTGTCACTGACATATGTCAATTAAATAAGTCCCTTATAATGGACATTATTTTTATAAAATCCAATTTAATAAAGCAAATATTTTCATTCAATTTACAATTAATATAAAGAAACTGTAAAAAAAATATAGAAATTATATAAATTTTAACGATAATGTGGTCAGTGAATTCATTTCGTTTTAATAAATGTCAGTGCATGTCATTGATAAATGTCATTACATAATGAATGAAATACAAAATTGAAACGATGTTTGGTATATTGACAGTTGTCACTGACTTATGTCATTACATAATGAATGACATAAAAATTGAAACGATGTTTAGAATATTGACAGTTGTCACTGACATATGTCAATTAAGTAAGTCCATTATAATGGACTTTATTTTTTATAAAAACCAATTTAATAAAGTAAATATTTTCATTCAATTTACAATAAATATAAAGAAACTGCAAATAAATTTATAAAAATTATATGAATTTTAACGAAAATGTGGTCAGTGTATTCATTTTGTTTGATTAAATGTCAGTGCATGTCAATGATAAATGTCATTGCATAATAAATGAAATATAAATTGAAACGTCAATTATCTAAAATGTACATTAAATATACATTAATTATAAAGAAATTAGATAAATTTTATTGAAAATCTGATCAGTAGATTCATTTTGATAAATGTCATTACATAATGAATGACATAAAAATTGAAATGATGTTTGGTATATTGACAGTTCTTACTGACATATGTCAATTAACTAATATGTTCTTTAAATATACAATATATATATATAGAAAGTTTAAAGAAATTCGATGAATTTTAATGAAAATGTGATCAGTGAATTCATTTTCTTTGATTAAATGTCATCGGGTGTCAATGATAAATGTCATTACATAATGAATGACATACAAATTAAAACGGTGTTTGGTATATTGACAGTTGTCACTGACTTATGTCATTACATAATGAATGACATACATAATTGAAACGATGTTTGCTATATTGACAGTTGTCACTGGCATATGTCAATTAACTAATATGTTCATTAAATATACATTAAATATAAACAGAGTTTAAAGAAATTATATGAATTTGATTGAAAATGTCATCAGTGAATTCATTTTCTTTGATTAAATGTCATTGCATGTCTTTGATAAATGTCATTACATAATGAATGACACTGACATATGTCAATTAAGTAAATCACTTATAATGGACTTTACTTTTATAAAAACCAATTTAATAAAGTAAATTTTTTGCACACTACATCAAATTCCAGCTGCGTAAATTACAAAAAAAAATAAACAATTAAAACAATAACACTAAACAGAAATGTGTTGCATTCGCATTTATTTTTGAATCAAGATTATTTTGTGATTCATCTTGCAGTTAAAAATTATGTACCTGTGAAAATAATAATATGAAAGAATCCTTCGAATCAAATGTGTGTACATTTTTTTTTTGTAAGTCATACTTATTTACTTTAGTCGCATTCAACAATAAATTGTAGTCGTAGCTTGCAACATGAGAAACACAACAAATATATTTGCATATTGCGAATATAAACGAAAAATCATAATAAAAACGTATCATTTGCAAACACCTTTATTGCACCTTCACCTTGGCCAGTTTTACTACTACATCGATGTACACGCATTTCCAAGTGACTATGCATGTCTTTGCTTATCTCCAATTAAGTTTATACGAGACTAATTGCTAATCCAATTAAACGATGGAAACATTTTTGTTTTATTTTCTTTTCTTTTTTTGCATGGAATTATTTTACTTCGTACATTTTTTTAATTCGGATTAATTCACGTTAGTTTTTTTCCATTTTCTTTGATAAATAATAAGACTCGACCTAATTATTATTTTCGCATGGTCATTGAAACTGGATTCTTTTGAAGAATTGCGCCGATCCAAGGATTTATGATGATTTCTTTTTTTTTCCTTTTTTTTCTAGTTTAATATCTTTTTGTAATTACGTAAAAGGCGAGGTCTCTCTCTTTGCAAAAGTATGATTTATGAAAGATTCATATTTGTATCAAACATCTGCTTTCACGGTTGTCTCTTCTCTGCATTTGCGACAAACATTTACTTAGAAAGCTGGTAATTAGACTGGCAATTGTTTTCGTAAATTTAGTAAACCGCAAACGTTTACGTACTTTATTAAGTTTATTAATGGTTTTTCCATTACAAATACAACTCTCATCGCCTAATTATAAACCTCTTTTTTTCATAATTAACAAACAAATGTTTACTTTCTCTTTATAAAAAAAACTGTTTTCTTTCTTCTTCATTAGTTTAGATTACATTCATTACTTTTTTAAAATAGATTTAGTAATTTATTCTTTAGATTTCTATTTGATCCTAAAACTTACATTATTCTGGAGTCGTGAAAAACTGGAAAATAAGAAGTTATTTCACCAATAAATCTAATGACGCAGAATTTTAGTTCATGTGCTCTGGCATAAACGTAGTCATAAAATCGAATTGAAACTGTAAACATCTTAAAATAGAAGCACATTTCCGGTATAAATCAAACATTTTTTGTTTTTCAATCGAACTTTTTATCACAAAGGAAACGCAATACAAAAGTACGTTTCCTTTGTAATAGTTTGAAATTTTCGGTAAACATTTTTACTCAAATTATATGTAATTTTATTGAAAATGTAGTTGATTTCTTCATGTAAATAATCATTACGTAATTAAAAAAAAAACGCATAATAATATGTTTGACACGATGTTTGATAGTTGTTGTTTTTTTTTATGTAACGATATGCCAATTAACTGAAATGTTCATTAAAGTGTTTATTTACGTAATAAAAGTGTAAAAAAATTACATGCATTTTCGCATAATTATCTGAATCATTTCGTTGTAATAAATGTCATTACGTAATGCAATATTCGAACACGAAGTTTGGTATATTGACAGTTGTTATTGACATATGTCAATAAACTAATATTTTCATTACATTCACAATAAATTTATAGAAATTATATGAATTTTAATGAAAATCTGGTCAGTGGATTAATTTCGGTTGATTAAATGTCGGTGCATGTCATTGATGAATGTCTTTACATAATGAATGACATATAAAATTGAAACAATGTTTGGTATATTGACAGCAGACACTGACTTATGTCATTACATAATGAATGACATATAAAATTGAAACGTTGTTTGGTACATTGACAGTTGTCACTGACTTATGTCATTACATAATAAATGATATACAAATTGAATTTTGGTATATTGACAGTTGTTACTGACTTATGTCGATTAACTAACATGTTCATTACATATACATTAAATATAAACAGAGTTTAAAGAAATTATATGAATTTGATTGAAAATGTGATCAGTAAATTCATTGTGTTTTATGAAATGTCAGTGTATGTCATTGAAAACTGTCATTACATAATGAATGACATACAAAATTGAAACGATGTCTAGTATATTGACAGTTCTTACTGACATATATCAATTAACTAATATGTTCATTAAATTTACAATAAATATAAAGAAATTAGATGAAGTTTAATGAATGACATACAAAATTGAAACGTTGTTTGGTATATTGACAGTTGTCACTGTCTTATGTCATTACTTAATGAATGACATAAAAATTGAAACGATATTTGGTATATTGACAGTTGACACTGACTTATGTCATTACAAAATGAATGACATACAAAATTGAAACGATGTTTGCTATATTGACAGTTGACACTGACTTATGTCATTACATAATAAATGACTTAAAAATTGAATTTTGGTATATTGATAGTTGTTACTGACTTATGTCGTTTAACTAACATGTTCATTAAATATACAAAAAATATAAAGAAATTAGATGAAGTTTAATGAAAATGTGGTCAGTAGATTCATTTTGTTTTATTAAATGTCAGTGCATGTCATTGATAAATGTCATTACATAATGAATGACATACAAAATTGAAACGTTGTTTGGTATATTGACAGTTGACACTGACTTATGTCATTACATAATAAATGACGTAAAAATTGAATTTTGGTATATTGACAGTTGTTACTGACTTATGTCGATTAACTAATAAATGACATACAAATTGAAACGATGTTTGGTATATTGACAGTTGACACTGACTTATGTCATTACATAATGAATGACGTAAAAATTGAAACGATGTTTGGTATATTGAATTACAAAATTGAAACAAGGTTAATATATTGACAGTTTTCACTGTCAATTAACTAATTAATATTTTCATTAAATTTTTATTACAATGAAAAATAAAATGCAGAAATATTTTGCTGGATGTGTTCACAAAAAAAAAAATAAAGCATAATATTTTTGTAACCTCAGCCTTGACCATCAAAATTAATTAGAACTACAAATTAAAAACGAAATAGTTCATAATGTCAGAGCAATTGCACAGCAGCAATTAATTTGACGCAATCAGTTGTAAGTTATATAAATGAAGAGAGAAAAAAAAATGTGAATAAAGGTAACAACAATAACATTTTAATGGAACAGTTCGAATGCACTTTTGAGGTGCAATTAGAAAGGCCACATCCTGCTTCAGAAAAATCTTCGAGCACCTTCAAGCACGCCCATATCGAACACAGCGAATGTAAAATAACTTCTGGGAAAATTAAGTCACAGGTATCATTAATACATTTATTAACAAAGATATTTCTCTTTCATTTTCCTTCGATAATTACGCACGTACCGTTACAAAAGACTTTTGTTCTTCACCGAAATGGTAATGAAATTCATTTTCTGTTTTATTCCATTATTCAATCTCACCTGCTATTGTTGATCTTGTTCTCGGATCCTTCGGAATCGTCGGAGCCCCAATGGAAATGCAACTGCGCGAACTGATATTTCCCAAGCAGAGGTCCACCAGATATCAAAGGCATTTTCGTCGAATTGATCGTAACGATAACTGAAAGAAAAAAAGTCAGTTAAAGCATTGAAATGTGTTAACTGAGAGAGGATATAATTTAACATTTCAATATGCCTTAGGGAAAAGTAAAAGTTAAAGTTATTGAGTTATTAAATTAATGTTAATAGGAAAAGTGTAAGTTTGTAAGACATTAAATCGTCTTTATTGCCGAGTCGGTAAAATGGGTTCGGGACGCGAGAAAGTCCTCTCCTTCATTTCTTTTTTTCCATCTAGACTCTGGACTCGACTTTCCAATCCTTTTGTTTATTTGTCCTCTTAGTCTCAGTTTTAGTTATTTCTTTTTTGTTTGTTTTCAAGTAAACGCGATTTGGAGCGAAGTGAAATCTACCGCAGATTTGTCTCTCCGTTCAGTTTATATTATTATTATATAATTAACGTTGAATGCAAAATGAATCTGAACGATTTCGCAACGCACAACAACAACAAAAACATTGAAGGACGTGCTGCATTGTTAGATAATAATAAGGTATTGACAGTATATGCGATAAAAGCAATTAGTTTCGGAGCTGTTCTTTCCACTCTTTTTTTTTACAATTATCATCGTTAGTTGTTTGTTGAATCATCGACGTTGGACAACTGTGCGTGACACTCAGACGCTTAATTTAATGTCTATTTTTTTACTAAAACAATGAAAGAAATACATAGTGATTACGCTACGATTTTTAATTCTCTAAAAGTGAATTATTCTACGAAAAAACAAACGCTTATTACGTAAACAAATTGTAAATTTAATACATTTAATACATTAACATTTTGTCTTTGCTTATTGATCAATTAGTCAATAGATTAGGAACATCCTTTAACAAATAAAAAGTATATTTGAAAGTGTTTTTTTTTTAAAGACAATAAAAAAAACTTTCTCACTTTTATTGTTTTCTCAATTAATTTTTATTAAATTTGTAAATCTAATTAAAACTTGCATACCTTTGCAATGTGTTTATCAATAAATTAGTGAATAGATTGGCAAATCCTTCAACAAATAACAAATTTATATTTGAAAGTATCACTTTTATTGTTTTCTCATTTAGTTTTAGTTAAATTATTTTAAATTTTTTTTTGTATGTGTACATCTTTCAAGAAAGTTTTCAGAAACACAATTAAAGGTTGTAAACAATCAATTTGAGCTGTTTAATGTTTGAGTTACTTAAATATTTCAATTTTTCTAAATCCGGATGAGAATTGCAATAGTACAAGGTGGCGCAAAAGTAATGTCATAATTTGAATTAGCTGCCAATTTTGCAGATGGCGCCAAATGTCACTGTGCTTTGACATTTATGATGTATATATATAGTGAATTATTTTAACAAACAAAATTTGCGTTTCTGGGACATAGATAATCCACATGTAATGCAAGAAGATCCGTTGCATCCCCTCAACGTGACTGTTTGGTGCGGCATTTGCAGTGAAAAAGTGATTAGTATTTTTTTGAAGATGGCGCCACCGTAACCGGAAATGGCTAGCGTTGCTTAACCATTTTTCTTTGTCGTAAGATGCTGCATTGGGTCTCGATCATTGTTGGTTTAAACCGCTCACACATCTGGGGAAACTTTACTTTTGCGCCACCTCGTATAAACTGTATTAATAATACACTTATTAATAACTTTTTAGATAGCTGAGTGTTTATTTCTTAGTTTACACGTTTCTATTTTTACACGTTTTTCTTTGTGGGTCAATGCTTTCCACATTCAATTATATTTTTAGATAATAATTTTATAAAATTTAATCAACTGATAAGTTTGAAGATGATATAAAAAAACATAATTAAAACAACAAGACAAAACAAAATTTCTGTTTTCATCTTAGTTGATGTAACTTTCATTAACTTGTTATTAAAGAAAGTTATGAAATAAGTAGAAAGAAAGATGCACCCAAGTTTAAAGATAATAAATTAAAATTTCAACTAATTTATGATATGATACAATAAACATTTTTCAAATAGTACTGAAAATTACAAAAAATAGATAACTTAAAATATAAATTCATTATTAATTATAAATTACTTCAAGATTGACAAGATTCTTGAGTCAAAATTCTTAATTTTCTTCGTACGTTGTTAGTAATTGATTCTAAATATAATAAATTGGTGTAATTTACTTAGGAATTCGAGCAAGAGATTTAGAAAAGTGTTATTAGAAACCTGCGAACACTCTGTTGTCTCTCCAAGACATCAAAATTTGACCGAATTATAAAACAATGTTTTTTAGAAGAAACTCTCTAAAGTAATGTAATTTCATGCGAATTTGGAAGACGACATTTGTTCATTTGTCAAAAAGAAAGAAATCATCTAAAACTTTACACTTTCAATTTCAATTTTATTAGTAAGAAATATGTAAGAAAACAATAAGAAATTAAGTAATTCATTCAATCATTCATATTTTAGACTAAATTTTGTAATATTTCAACAATAACAATTAATTTAATTAACAATTTTTTTAAATTGTAATTTAGAAATTTTCAATAACTGAAAAAGTTGTCTCTTTTGCTGTTATTACAGGTATCCCCCGACTTACGAACTCCCGGACTTACGAACAAAATTCTAAAAGCTCTACTTGCACAAAGAATGTCATTGGATATGCCAAACACAAGTAGCAGTTCTTGTCCACAAGTACTTGTCAAGTATCATGTAGTTAATAAATAAGTTATGGAGTTTTGTTTTCATTATACAACTACAGGTATCCCCCGACGTACGAACTGCCGGACTTACGAACAATATTCTAAAAGCTCTAACTTGTTACAAGAAGATATATTCGTCGTTTCTTATTAAATAATTGTTATGTCTACATTGAAAAGTAATTGCAATTAAGTTCTTTGTTTATTTTAATCAATTTTTCAAATGTATGCAGTTATTAACACGGAATTTAACATATATAAAACTAAGAAACCATGATAAAGTGTGGTAAGATAAGTATATTTTTAAAATTCTCCCGACTTACGAACAAATTCGTCTTACGAACAATCCTTTGGAACGGAACTAGTAAGTCGAGGAATACCTGATTATTTTGTATATAACTGTAAAACTTAATTAAACTTTAATTTATAATGAGAAATCAACCAAAAAATTTAGATTCTTTTTCAATATGTAAAACAATGTTGAATTTCAACAAATAGGAAAAAAAAACTGAAATTTTGTAAATGTTTAAAAAAATGTGAAATAATGATGTTTCTTTTGCTGTTATGAGAACTGATGCAAATACAATTTAACTTATTTTGGTTAAACTATCTTCAAGTTATAAAATAAGACTTCTCTAATTGTAAATGTATTCAAAATCAATTAAAAAACAATAAATTCTTCTATTTTTATTGCAATTTAACATCCCTATACATTAAAAATTCATTTTATAAGAAAATATCAATAACTTATCTAAAGTTTGCAAATTTCTACTAATTTAACGTAGTTTGGTTAAACTATCTTCAAGTTATAATAGAAAAGTTCTCTAATTGTAAATATATTAACATATATAAAGGTGAAAACCATGATAAAGTGTGGTAAGATAAGTATATTTTTAAAATTCTTCCGACTTACGAATAAATTCGTTTTACGAACAACCCTTTGGAAGGGAACTAGTTCGTAAGTCGAGGAATACCTGTATATGGTTATTTTGTATATAAATGTAAAACTTAATCAAACTTTAATTGATAATGAGAAATCAACCAAAAAATTTAGATTTTTTTTTCAATATGTAAAATAATGTTGAATTTCAACAAATAGGAAAAAAAAACTTCTTTACAAATTGAAATTTTGTAAATGTTTAAATAAATGTGAAATGTTAAACTATCTTCAAGTTATAAAATAAGACTTCTCTAATTGAAAATGTATGAAAAATCAATTAGAAAACAAAAAATGCTTTACTGTTTCTTCTATTTTTATTGTCATTTAACAATTTAACAAATCAACTAAAAAATTTAGATTTTTGTTGTTGTATATGTAAAATAATGTTGAATTTCAAGAATAGAAAGGAAAAAAACTTCTTTATAAACTGAAATTTTGTATATTTTTAAATAAATGTGAAATAACGATGTTTTTTTTTTATTGGAAGTCAGGGAATACCTGATTATTTTGTATATAACTGTAAAACTTAATTAAACTTTAATTGATAATGAGAAATCAACAAAAAAATTTAGATTTTTTTTAAATATGTAAAACAATGTTGAATTTCAACAAATAGGAAAAAAACTTCTTTATAAACTGAAATTTTGTAAATGTTTAAATAAATGTGAAATAACGATTTTTCTTTCGCTGTTATGAGAACTGATGCAATTACAATTTAAAAGAAAAAAATAAGTTGAATCATGTAACGCTGTCATGAATTTTTTTATTTCGGTAACATCATTGAATATTCGGATTCGGTTACGAAACGGCGATATCGGGTTTATATTTAGCGTTGAATCGTCATCGGACAATTTACCTGTGTGTCCGTTGTTCTTGATCACAGCTTCTTCGGGCACGAAATCGAAGTTCTCGAATTGCATCGGGAACAACTTGACCATCTCGACGTTGTGCTCCTCGATGTTGATCGGACTTTGGTGCTTACCAATGCAGTGATGGTACTTCTCACCCCAAAAGTTTGGACCTTCAAAATAACAACAACAACAACAAAACTATTAGTACAACAGTTTTGCATTGGGTTTCGTAAATGGAAAAGTTGTTATTGTAATGCAACAAATTTGGGCAATTCAAACAAAAAAAGGAATAAATAAATGTAAAATTATATCATTATAAAGTAATGTAATATAAATAATGACAGGATTTGCGTGCTGCGAATTGTATTCGTTCAATTTTTGGAGGCCGGAAGCAAATTACCGCGTGAAAATTGGACACAAGAATATTTTGATGGCACGTGGGAGACGATTATTTTCATCGTTAATTACTGTTAATCTCGCTGTGAGATGTGAAAGGACAGTTTGTTAATAAAACTGACGACGTTCTATGAAACAAATTTGTTTGGAACAATGCGGACTCGTGCGAATCTGCTTATGCAAATGGTCTTTTGTTTGCTAACTCACCTACGGTTCCCTCGTACCCAAAATCCTGACCAGAACCTGGAACAAAATACAGAAAAATATAAATTTCTCCTCTCAAAACTGAACTGATTCTATGCCATTCAATTTAACGAAATTGCTGGATCGAAACTGAAGAAAAAATTGGAAAATTATGCGTTCGTGACGGACGTGGATTATTTCCCCAATGCAGACGATTTTCTCGATGTTGTCATTGACGGAATAATCGTTTATTACCATTAGCAATTATTCGCTCATCATTTATGTGTCTCCTAACTAATTCCGTGCACATTTTTCCTTTTTTTTTAAACTATTAATTGCGATCGCGTGTTTCCACTGACAATTCGCATTCATTTGGAAATCGAGAAGGAAAAAAAAAATGTGCAATAATTAACTGGTTTCGTTTAAAATTTAGCTGCGTTTTCGGAAACGGAATAGAAGGATTATGTAAAAAAAAAATAATAGCTTAATTGCGAAACTGCCGGATTATTTTTGAGTATTGTTTTCTGCAATTAATTATAGGTACGTGATTCAAGAAGTTCTTCAAAATTCTCAGCTGCAGTTTGTTTTCTTCATTAACAATGTAATCTGTAATTAGTTTTCTTCGAATCGAAGATTCTCACAATGATTCAACTTGAGTTAGTTTAAAGAAAAATTAAAGTTTCCAAAAGAAAGGATCAACAGGACATGAATTCCTCGCTTAGTCCGGTTTTGATCAGTCTATGCAACAAAGCTGTTTCTGAGTAGTTTCCAGTTATGTCATAGATTGAAATAGGATTCGTAACAACAATGCGTATTAAATATTGATTTTCTTTTGATGTTTTTGTTTTTCTCAAATTGATTTGATTTTTATACTTCTTCGTGACTTTTGTAGTTAATCTTTTATTGTGTTGCTATAAAATATTCTTCATTAAAGTTATAATACTTCTCTAATATGTATTAAATGTATTATACATTAATTAGAAAACAAGAAATTCTGTACTGTTTCTTCTATTTTTATTGAAATTTAATAATTTAGCAAATGTAAACATCAATAAATTATCTCAAGTTTCCAAAATTTCTAATAATTTAAGTTATTTTGTATAATATAAAACTTCTCTAATCGAAAATGTATTAAAAAACAATAAAAAACAAGAAATTCTTTACTGTTTCTTCTATTTTTATTGTAATTTAACAATTTAGCAAATGTAAATATCAATAAATTATCTCAAGGTTGTAAAATTATAATAATTTAACTTATTTTGATTAAACTAGCTTCAAGTTATAATAGAAGACTTCTCTAATTGTAAATATATTAAAAATTATTAGGAAACCAAGAATTTTTTTACTGTTTCTTCTATTTTTGTTGTAATTTAACATCAATAACTTATCTAAAGTTTACAAAGTTCTACTAATTTAACATATTTTACTTAAAATAGCTTCAAGTAATAATATAAGTCTTTTCTAACTATAAATATATTAAAAATGAATAAGAAAACAGGAAAGTCTTAACTGTTTCTTCTATTTTTATTTTTATTTAAAATCCGTATAGATTTATAATTAATTTTATAAGAAAATTATCAATAACTTATCTAAAGTTTGGAAATTTGCAATAATTTAACAGATTTTCGTTAAACTACCTTTAAGTTATAATATAAGACTTCTCTAATTGTAAATGTATTAAAAATCAATAAAAAAACAGGAAATTCTTTACCGTTTCTTCAATTTTTATTGTAATTTAACATTTTAACTAATGTAAACATTAATAAATAATCTCAAGGTTGCAAATTTTTAATAGTTCAACTTAGTTTGGTTAAACTAGCTTCAAGTTATAATAGAAGACTTGTTTAATTGTAAATGTATTAAAAATTAATTAGAAAAGAAGAAATTCTTTACTTTTTCTTCTATTTTTATTGCAATTTAACATCCCTATACATTAACAATTCATTTTATAAGAAAATTATCAGTAACTTACCTAAAGTTTGCAACTTTCTAATAATTTAACTTGTTTTGGTTAAACTATCTTCAAGTTATAATAGAAAACTTCTGTAATTGTAAATATATTCAAAATCAATAAGAAAACAAGAAATTCTTTACTGTTTCTTCTATTTTGATTGTAATTTAACATCAATAACTTATCTAAAGTTTGAAAATTTCTAATAATTTAACTTATTTTGGTTAAACTATCTTTAAGTTATAATAGAAGACTTCTCTAATTGTAAATATATTCAAAATCAATAAGAAAACAAGAAATTATTTACTGTTTCTTCTATTTTTATTGAAATTTAACATCCCTATACATTAACAATTCATTTTATAAGAAAAAATATTAATAACTTATCTAAAGTTTTCAAATTTCTACTAATTTAACTTGTTTTGGTTAAACTATCTTCAAGTTATGATATAAGACTTCTCCAATTGAAATAGTATTCAAAATCAATAAGAAAACAAGAAATTCTTTACTGTTTCTTCTATTTTGATTGTAATTTAACATCAATAACTTATCTAAAGTTTGCAAATTTCCAATAATTTAACTTATTTTGGTTAAACTATCTTCAAGTTATACAATAAGACTTTTCTAATTGAAAATGTATTAAAAATCAATAAGAAAACAAAAAATTCTTTCCTGTTTCTTCTATTTTTATTGCAATTTAACATCCCTATACATCAACAATTCATTTTATAAGAAAAAATATCAATAACTTATCTAAAGTTTGTAAATTTGCAATAATTTAACTGATTTTGGTTAAATTATCTTCAAGTTATAAAATAAGGCTTTTCTAATTACAAATTTATTCAAGATCAATAAGAAAACAAGAAATTATTTACTATTTCTTCTATCTTTATTATAATATAACAATTTAACAAATGTAAAAATCAATAAATTATCGAAAGTTTGCAAATTTCTAATAATTTGACTATCTTCAAGTTCTAAATCACTACCACCTAATTGTTGCTAATGAAGAAATTGCCATAAAGTACTGTTTCGCATGCGTTTTTGAATTGGCAATTACATCGAAATCACTTTTTAATAAGCGCTTTACCAAAAAACAAAAAACAACTAAAAAAAGGCAGCAATAATCATAAACATAATTTTACATAATTATTAACGCTCATTTCGCGTGTAATTGCAATGATTTGAATGCTATACAACCTGTTTTTCATTTTTAATGCGTTAGAAATTGAAGAGTTCGTTTCAAGAACGCATCTTCCTTGGATGAATCCATCAAGGTTTTAAATTATAACCATTTTTTTTGTTAATTATAGTAATTTGGATTTGTTAACAAATCGCGTCAACGTTCTGCAAAACAAAACAAGCCTCAGGTATTCAAATTTCACGTGATGTTTGTTTATAGTTGGAAATTTAGATTTTTTTCTATTTAATTACAAAAAAAAACTAATTTTAGATCGATAACTTAATGAATCAAAATCAAGTCATATTATCTGACTAGGAAACATTATATAATTATTTAATGATGATAAAAATATTGTTAATGATCCCATTACAAAAATATCTAACAAAGATTGGTAACAAAATTCCAAATTCCGGTTTAGATAAACTTATTAATCATGAAAGAAACAATTAAAAGCTTGACTAAATCTTAATAACTCAATTAATTGATCATTTTAAATCACTTTTAAGATTCGATAACTGTTTGCTTTATAATTGTCGTGGCCTACCATTTTATTATCATCTTCTTAATTATACAACAAAAGCGCTCAGTAACAAAAGCGCGCAGTAACAAAAGCGCGCAATAAAACAATTGACACTATAGATATTCCATCCTGGGACACGACATAATATTATGTTCTAATCAAAGAAAATTGTCAACAAAGACATAAATATTCAAATGTAACTTTAGCGAACACAAAAGTGTATATTTTCTAAGAAAGTAATAATATTTGGGACAAGTAAAATTAACGAATTCTATATAATTGCACGAACATTGTTATTTAATTAATTCATTTATTTATTCCATACGATTTACATATTCCATTATTAATTTACATGTAACAACTAATGAATATGTTCATTAATTCATTAACTAATATCCAATGATAATAATATTTGTGGTCAATCGACGCATTCTAACCGTAATTCTTCATAAATCATGTATTATTAGAATATAATTGATTACAATTATAATTTTAATGTTTATTGGGAATATTTCATTATTTCTATTGCTGATTTTGTATTGAAATTAAACGAAATCAATTTTGCAACGTATTTGAGGCTTTGTTGTTTGAATTATTTCGGATTGAACAACAAACTTTAATTTCAATATTTTTAACAAACAATTATTATCTAAATACATTTAATACTATATCATTTCGTTAAATATTCAAACTAATAAGAAATTAGATTTTGTTGTTGTTATATTCGTTATGAATCATTATTTTTTTGTAACAAATAATGAATACGTTCATTAATTCATTTACAAATATCCAATGATAATCGTTGCTTTTCTTTGTGGTCAATCGATGCATTCTGACCATAATTTTTCATAAATCATGTTTTATTAGAATATAATTGATTACAATTACAATTTTAATGTTTATTGGGAATATTTCATTATTTCTATAGCTGATTTTGTATTAAAATTAAACGCAATATTTTATGATATTATTAATCTATTTTGCAACGTATTTGTGGTTTGTGGTTAAAATTATCTCGGATTGAACAAACTTTAATTTCAATATTTTTAACAGACAATTATTATCTAAATACACTTAATACAGTATCATTTCGTTTAGTATTCAAAGTAATATGACATAAGCTTTTGTTGCTGTTTATTATTTGTATAAAATAATAAAATTTAAATGAAAAAATGTACCAAAATTTTCAAATTTAAAGTATTATGAGTATTTATTTTCAACTTAATTCCAAACTTACAATTAATAATTGCCAAAAATTATAAAATTTCAGAAATATAGAGAAAAAAAAGTTAAATATTGAAAAATTTCTACTTTTTCTTAAAGTTTTTTTCAAATAATTGTTGAATTTGACTTTAAAAATATTGGAAAATTTCAAGTTTTAAATTAAGTAACAATTACTAAATAATTTTATTATAGAAATTAATGTTAAATTTATCAATAAGTAGTTTTTTTTATATTTATTGCCTAAAAATATGTATTTTATTATAAATATTTGTGTTGAACAATTTTTGTTTGTTAAAAAACGAGTGAAGATGAGAAGAGAAGTTCCTGATTTGAATATGTTTCACTGTATATTCGTTTCTTCTTAATTGTACAACAAAAGCGCGCCGACAAAAGCGCGCAGTTATATTTGCTAATCATCATTTTTGTTGTAACATCTAATGAATACATTCATTAATTAATTTACCAATATCCAATGATAATCGTTGCTTTTATTTGTGCTCAATCGATGCATTCTGACCATAATTCTTCATAAATAATGTTTTATTAGAATATAATTGAATAGAATAACAATTTTAATGTATATTAATGTTTATTGGGAGTATTTCATTATTTCTATTGCTGATTTTGTATTGGAATTAAACGCAATATTTGATGATATTATTAATCAATTTTGCAACGCATTTGTAGTTTGAATTGTTTCGGATTGAACAAACTTTAATTTCAATATTTTTAACAAACAATTATTATCTAATACTATATCATTTCGTTAAATATTCAAACTAATAAAACATAAGATTTTGTTGTTGCAGTTGTTGTTATATTTGCTACGAATTATTGTTTTTTTTTACTGTTTAATATTTGTATAAAATAATAAAATTTAAATAAAAAAATTATATTTTAGAAATATAGAGAAAAAATAGATTAAAAATTTAAAAATTTCAACTTTTTTTAATTAACTGATATTTGTTAAAGTATTGTAAAATTAAGCAAATAATTACTAAATAAGTAAATTTTTATTGTATTTTATTATAAAAATTTGCGTTGAACAATTCTTATTTGTTAAAAAAAAAACGAAAAGAATGTTGTTTAAATACAAAATAAAATTAAGTATTATTAATATTTATTTTCAATTATTAATTCCAAATTTTAATTTACGTTTAATAATTGCCAAAAATTATAAAATTTCAAAAATATAGAGAAAAAAAAGTTAAATATTGAAAAATTTCAAGTTTTAAATCAAGCAACAATTACTAAATATTTTTATTATTGAAATTAATGTTAAATCTATCAATAAGTAGTTTTTTATATATTTTATGCCTAAAAATATGTATTTTATTATAAAAATTCGCGTTGAATAATTCTTGGTTGTTAAAAAAAAAAAACGAAAAGAATGTTGTATAAATACTAAAAGTTATCGTGAACTAGAAAATGCGGTGCACGCTACACACTTTTGCAAATATAATTGATAATTTATAAAAAATAAATAAAAGTAAACTCACCAATTGATAACATTCCGAAGAAGCAGTAAACAGATACCAGAAATTCAAAAGCGAACCTCATTTTGTTATTGTTGTTGTCTATTTGATGTTTGATACAAAAATATCGTCTCTTCGGATGTAAGAAGTGCATCCACTAAACCGCAACTCCGAAAGCAAAATAAAAGCAAACTTGCCTCTGGACTAGCGCACTGACACTAACACTATTTCACCTTCCGCAATTCTATTTGGTCGATGCAAAGCCAAGTAAACGAAGCAGGTGTGTGAGTGTGTCTGTTTGAGTGCGTGGACTGAGCGTGTGAGAGTGTGCGTTCGGCATAGTCTGCACGTTTTGTTCGATCAGGAATTAAAGCAATAAACGAAATGTACTTTTGCAATTAACAACGTTTCATCATCATCATCAACAGCAACAGCAAACATTAAAAGTGCGCTGTTCTTTCTTTCGTATTCCCAATCGCATAAATCGGAATCTTATTTGAAGAACAACGTAAGATGTTAAACGCTTATTACATAACAGATGTTCGGATTAACTTACATTAACGATTGAATTAACAACAACAACAAACAAACTTTCTTTAAATGCAAGAAGCAGAGGTTTCATACTGTTCGAAGCGAATATGGGGGGAATCCGATTACCGAATGCGGATGTTGGCATATTACAGAGATTACTGCGAAATGCAAATTGTCCAAACGAAAACCGATCGAATTCCATGGGACGAATTTATGTCGCGCGCGCGAGTTTTTTTTTCTAATTCCGAAGCTGCTGCAGCGTCCCATTTGGATTCCATCCAGGTTTTCTCGTGATGAAATTTACCTTTGCAAGACGTTTCTTCGAATTCAAAATTTTACATTTTTTATGAAGATTTCTTTTTATATAATCAATTTATTAATTTGCTACAACTAATTCCAAATTGATTAACTTAAAATAATGACTTACATTCATTTGAATCATTATTTTTTAGTTGCAGCAACAACAAAAAAACTGTATTCCTTTTATGAATTTCCGGTTTAATCAAATTATTTTGTCCATATATATATAAATAAATACACGAGTAATTTCCAAGGAAAGAAAACACGTGCATTCGCGAATTTCTATTGCATTCGCTTAAATTTCCCGACACGTTTTAATTGTCGGTGGGACACGATTTGCATACGAAACGGTATAAACATCTACGTTCATCTTCTTTCTATAGACGGCGAATTGTAACTAACAGATTTGCTTTGAATGGATTGGAAACGTTTTTGCGGTGTCCGAAAGTGATTGATTACAGCTGCAACGATTATTGAGTCTTAAGTCTATCAACGGAATCTTTAAGTGAAGTTAAGTGTGCGAGTTCAGAAGTCCATTAACGTTCCGCTCATTGATAACTTGTTTCCATTTTTTTTCCATAGCCATCTTCAACCAAAAATATACCAAATTTACCAGATGATACTTGATTTTTAGCTAGACAACCGAAAAATCGTCTATTGAAATCCCGACAGTATTAAAGTCCCGACGCTTGAAATCCCGACTATGCCAAAATCCCGACTATATTGAAATCCCGACTACCATAAAAATATTATTGTAAAAATTTATAATAATAAAAGATACTGTCGGAATTTCGATACATTCGGGTTTGTCGGGCTTGCGATTGCCACCGAATTTGGACACTGTTTAATTCATTATATATATTTATTTATATATTTTGTCATTGAATATTAATGATTGAACTACTAAATTCTTTCAATTTTTACACTAGTTTTTTCTTCAATTCTTGTCGTTTTGAATCCATTGCAACATATATTCAATTGCATAACTCTCGGTGATTCAATACATAACATTGTTTGGATTCTTGAACTCTTTGGTTTTATGAAATAGATGAGGATGAAACGACCTCGAACAATTATAAATGCAGAGCATGATTAGTACGGACAAACTCCTTCAGGTATCAAAAATGTTTGGTCATGTTTCTTCGTTGACCTTTTTTCTATAAGGCCAAACTAGACGATATGGACTACTTGATTTTTTTTTTGTTACTCGTCTCACTCTATTAAACAAACCGATATTTTTATATAATTGTAAATTGTGTAAATTTAAGATCGCGGTTGACAATAGATGGATAATCTTTCCCGGTGGATAATTTACCATTATGATGATTTTGAACATTGATAATTACTCTCCAGTCTATCTTGGTATCTACTACTAAATGTTGCTATTGTATCCTCGACCATATCTACATGAAGATCTTCGTGTATTTGTGTATTCCTGACGAACCATGGAACCCATAAGTAACCCATAAGTAACTTATTTTTCACTGATAATTCCGACCTTTCCCTAGAATCCAGAAGAGTTTTCTAAACTTTATTTCTAATTGCTCCCTCTTAGCCTGATTGTGATCTTTCCAGGTAAGTCTTCTGTCTAGATGCATGCCTAGATACTTGACTTTTGTTGCTTTGGGCAGATCTTGTCCATTAAGTCTTACAGTTGGGCAGGTGTCTTTCTTTAGCGTGAATGTGATATGAACGGATTTAATTTCGTTAACTACTATTCTCCATTTTTTAAGCCATTCTTGTAGCTTATCTAAATTTTCCTGTAGATATTCGGATGCTACTGCTGGATTCTCATCTGAAGCCTATATTTCTGTGTCATCAGCGAATGATGCAATCGTAGTATTGTTAGTTTTAGGAAAATCTGCCGTCTATAAAAGGTAAAGCAGTGATCTTAAAACACTATAAATCTTCCTGTAGCAGCCCAGATTCTATTGGGTATAAATCGGTGTATTTGTCTTCTATTTTTACTTATTTCTTCTTTATTTTGTAAAGAGTAGTCCGAGATGCCAAACTTTGCCAAAAGCTTGCGATTTTTATAAAAAGGCAGCTTATTCTGTTTACTTGCTCTATTGCAACAAAAGGCAAACTGATACTTGAAATTTGTCTATTTTTTTAACGTATTTCTCTTATTTCTTTACATTATTTCATTTACAGTTTAAAATCTTCGTCGTTTGAATTATGTCACGTAGAAAGTATGACTATATTTGAAAATGGTATAAAAACTTACTTTTTTATTGCACGAATAAATAGAAAATTTGTGATCAAAATGAACGCATTACATATTAATTTATCATCACGTAATAATGTAAATTGTTCTATTTCATTGCACAATTCTTATTTTGTTGCAGTTTGAAAAAGAATGTTAAAAGTTAAGTTTCCAAATTGACAATCTAAATTTACTCAAATTCAAAGTAATATAGAACTTTGTAATTTGCTACAACAATTAAACTATATTGTTTTTTTTTCTGTAAAGTAGATAGTGGCAATTACATATTAATTTAACATCACTTAATAATGTAAATTGTTCTATTTCATTGCACAATTCTTATTTTTTTTCAGTTTGAAGAAGAATGTGAAAAGTTAAGTTTACAAATTGACAATCAACTGTTACTAAACTTCTTCAGCCTTTTGTATAATATGAATATGCTGGATATTTCATCTTAAAGTTTAAAGATTGAAATTCGATGAAATATCTAAATTTACTCAAATCCAAAGTAATATAGAACTTTGTAATTTGCGACAACAAATAAACTATATTGTTTTTTTTTCTGTAAAGTAGGTAGTGGCAATTACATATTAATTTAACTTCACGTAATAATGTAAATTGTTCTATTTCCTTGCACAATTCTTATTTTTTTGCAGTTTGAAGAAGAATGTGAAAAGTTAAGTTTCCAAATTGACAATCAACTGTTAATAAAATTCTTCAGCCTTTTGTACAATATGAATATGCTGGATATTTCCTCTTAAATTTAAAAGATTTAAATTCGATGAAATATCTAAATTTACTTCAAATCCAATGTAATATAGAACTTTGTAATTTGCTACAACAAATAAACTATATTGTTTTTTTTATAAAATAGATATTGGCAATTACATATTAATTTAACATCACGTAATAATGTAAATTGTACTATTTCATTGCACAATTCTTATTTTTTTTTTGCAGTTTGAAGAAAAATGTGAAAAGTTAAGTTTCCAAATTGACAATCAACTGTTAATAAAATTCTTCAGCCTTTTGTATAATATGAATATGCTGGACATTTCCTCTTAAATTTTAAAGATTTAAATTCGATGAAATATCTAAATTTACTTCAAATCCAAAGTAATATAGAACTTTGTAATTTGCGACAACAAATAAACTATTTTTTTTTCTGTAAAGTAGATAGTGGCAATTACATATTAATTTAACATCACGTAATAATGTAAATTGTTCTATTTCATTGCATAATTCTTATTTTTTTACAGTTTCAAGAAGAATGTTAAAAGTTAAGTTTTCAAATTGACAATCAACTGTTAATAACGTTCTTCAGCCTTTTTGTATAATATGAATATTTCCTCTTAAATTTTAACGATTTAAATTCGATGAAATACCTAAATTTACTTCAAATCCAAAGCAATATAGAACTTTGTAATTTGCGACTACAAATAAACTATATTGTTTTTTTTTGTAAAGTAGATAAGTAGCAATTACGTTGCTAATGTTTTTATGTTTTTTAACAGAAATGCAGTCATTAAATATACAAATAACAAGTATAAATCGTTCATGTGTTTTTCAATTCAATGTGTTTACACTAAATAATTGATTTTATTTATAGTTCGGTTTTGATTTTATTGTATTCTTTTCTTAATGTCCGCATCTCACAATTGTTTTAAGATAAACAGTCGAGAGATGAGCAGCAGTAGCTGAACGGATTGTTGATTTACGTTTGGGAAAATCGAAAACCGCACGATGATAATTTTCTTTTTCTGTATAATCCATCGCGCTCGGATGGAAACAATTAAGGTTTCGTAGAAAGTATTGAGTAAGAGACTAATGTGTGCATATATGGTTATCCAAATGTAAAGTGATGATCGGGTTCAGGGGAATGTTTCCATGCGTCATCTGAACTACTTTATTTACATTAGGCATTCCGTAATAGAATATGATATATCATATTATTCAAACAGCAGTAATAAACATCGAAAAATCATTATTAACATTATGTTAGTTTTCACAAGAAATTCGAGTAACTGGAACAGTTTAATTACCATTTCTTTGATTAATTCATAATAATGTTAAGTCGGATTTTCACCTGACAAAGGTACAAATCAACCTTGACTTTCCCTTTACGACTAACGAACATAATAAAGTTCTAGTTGAGCAAGAAAACTGGTCATGTTACAATAAAATTGTAACTATTTCTTTTGATTAATTCCTAAGAAGTATGAAATAATTTTGATATTGTTTTCTTACATGCAATAAAGAATGTAAAACTGGATTTTCTGGATACAAATCAACCTTGACTTTTCCTTTAGAAATAACGAACATAATAAGGTTCTAGTTGAGCAAGAAAACTGGTCATGTTATCATAAAATTGTTACTATTTCTTTTGATTAATTCCTAAGAAGTATGAAATCATTTTGATATTTTCTTTTACATGCAATAAAGAATGTTAATCTGTATTTTCACTGGGCAAAATATTAACATTATGTTAGTTTTAACACGAAATTTGATTAATAGAAACAGTTTAATTATCATTTCTTTGATTAATTCATAATAATGTTAAGACAGATTTTCACCTGACAAAGGTACAAATCAACCTTGACTTTCCCTATACGACTAACGAACATAATAAGGTTCTAGTTGAGTAATAAAACTGGACATGTTACCATAAAATTGTTACTATTTCTTTTGATTAATTCCTAAGAACTAGGAAATCATTTTGATATTTTTTTGTACATGCAATAAAGAATGTATTTTCACTGTGCAAAATATTAACATTATGTTAGTTTTAACACGAAATTTGAGTAATAGAATCAGTTTAATTACCATTTCTTTGATTAATTCAATAATTTTAAGCCGGATTTTCACCTGATTAAGGTACAAATCAACCTTGACTTTCCCTTTACGAATAACGAACATAATAAGGTTCTAGTTGAACAAGAAAACTGGCCATGTTATCATAAAATTGTTACTATTTCTATTGATTAATTCCTAAGAAAAATGAAATCATTTTGATATTTGTTTGTTACATGCAATAAAGAATCTAAAACTGGATTTTCACTGGGAAAAAGGTACAAATCAACGTTGACTTTACGAATAACGAAAATAATAAGGTTTCAGTTGAGCAAGAGCAATTCTTTGATTAATTTCTAAGAAGTATATTTCATTTTTTGTACATGTAATAAAGAATGTTAAACCGTATTTTCACTGTGCAAAATATTAACATTATGTTAGTTTTAACAGGAAATTTGAGTAATAGAAACAGTTTAATTACCATTTCTTTGATTAATTCAATAATTTTAAGCCAGATTTTCACCTGACAAAGGTACAAATGAACCTTGACTTTCCCTTTACGAATAACGAAAATAATAAGGTTCTAGTTGAGTAAGAAAACTGGTCATGTTACCATAAAATTGTTACTATTTGATTAATTCCTAAGAAGTATGAAATCATTTTGATATTTTCTTTTACGTGCAATAAAGAATGTTAAACTGTATTTTTGTTGGGCAAAATATTAACATTATGTTAGTTTTAACACGAAATTTGAGTAATAGAAACAGTTTAATTACCATTTCTTTGATTAATTCATAATAATGTTAAGCCAGATTTTCACCTGACAAAAGTACAAAATTAACCTTGACTTTCCGTTTACGAATAACGAACGTAATAAGGTTCTAGTTGAGCAAGAAAACTGGTCATGTTACCATAAAATTGTTACTATTTCTTTTGATTAATTACTAAGAAGTAGGAAATCATTTTGATATTTTTTTGTACATGCAATAAAGAATGTTAAACTGTAATTTCACTTGGCAAAATATTAACATTAGTTAGTTTTAACACGAAATTTGATTAATAGAAATAGTTTAATTACCATTTCTTTCTAAAACTGGTCATTTTACTATCTCTTTTGATTAATTCCTAAGAAGTATGAAATCATTTTGATATGTTTTGCTATAAATAATGTTAAACTGTATTTTCACTGGGCAAAATATTAACATTATGTTAGTTTTAACACGAATTTGAGTAACTAGAACAATTTAATTACCATTTCTTTGATTAATTCAATAATTTTAAGTCGGATTTTCACCTGACAAAGGTACACATCAACCTTGACGTCCCCTTTACGAATAACGAAAATAATAAGGTTCTAGTTGAGCAAGAAAACTGGCCATGTTATCATAAAAATGTTACTATTTCTTTTGATTAATTCCTAAGAAGTATGAAATCATTTTGATATTTTCTTTTACATGCAATAAATAATGTTAAACTGGATTTTCACTAGGCAAAAGGTACAAATCAACCTTGACTTTACGAATAACGAATATAATAAGATTCCAGTTGAGCAAGAGCAATTCTTTGATTAATTTCTAAGAAGTATATTTCATTTTTTATACATATTAAATAATGTTAAACTGTATTTTCACTGTGCAAAATATTAACATTATGTTAGTTTAACACAAAATTCGAGTAACTGGAACAGTTTAATTACCATTTCTTTGATTAATTCATAATAATTTTAAGCCGGATTTTCACCTGATTAAGGTACAAATCAACGTTGACTTTCCGTTTACGACTAACAAACATAATAAGGTTCTAGTTGAGCAAGAAAACTAGTCATTTTACCATAAAATTGTTACTACTTCTTTATGATTAATTCCTAAGAAGTATGAAATCATTTTGACATTTTCTTTTACACGTAATAAAGAATGTAAAACTGTATTTTCACTGGGCAAAATATTAACATTATGTTAGTTTTAACACGAAATTTGATTAATAGAAATAGTTTAATTACCATTTCTTTCTAAAACTGGTCATGTTTACTATTTCTTTTGATTAATTCCTAAGAAGTATGAAATCATTTTGATATTTTTTGTCAATAAATAAGATCTAAAACTGTATTTTCACTGGCAAAATATTACATTATTTAGTTTTAACACGAAATTTGAGTAATAGAAACAGTTTAATTACCATTTCTTTGATTAATTCATAATAATTTAAGCCGGATTTTCACCTGACAAAGGTACAAAACAACCTTAACTTTCCGTTTACGCATAAGAAAATAATAATAAAATTGTTACTATTTCTTTAGATTAATTCCTAAGAAGTATGCAATCATTTTGATGTTTTCTTTTACATGCAATAAAGAATGTTAAACTGGATTTTCACTAGGCAAAAGGTACAAATCAACCTTGACTTTACGAATAACGAATATAATAAGATTCCAGTTGAGCAAGAGCAATTCTTTGATTAATTTCTAAGAAGTATATTTCATTTTTTGTACATGTAATAAAAAAAAATGTTAAACTGTATTTTCCCTGGGCAAAAGGTACAAATCAACGTTGACTTTCCTTTTACGTATAACGAAACTCGCATTGTTTGCAACGATGGTAATAAACGGAGAAGTTACGGCGATGAAAATTCGTGTTAACTTAATTGGTGTTGGCCGAAAGAAATGTTAATTAGAAAAAGTAGTAACGGCGGTTCGCATTAATTGTTTCAGTACATGTACATATATATGAACAAAAAAGAAGTAGAATTCAATTAGAGTAGGAAATACGCTCGTGTTCGTGTTAATTTGACGGCGGTCGGTCTTCGTGTTCTTCATTGTTCGGCGGCATTTTTGGAATTCCGGAATCCGGTTACGCAACCGAAACGCAATTTGCACCGCCAAATTTGAAGAGCAAACACGGTGTGTCACGACCGAATTGGGTCAGAATGGAAATTGTCGACGGTCGTAAGGATAGAAGAAATGAATTAACGTTTATTTAATTTATATGTATATATATATTTAGTTACAGTAATTTCATATATATGTAAATAAACACGCGTTAATATAAATGCATGCTTGATTACAACAGCTTCAGCGAATTTCGATTAAGAAAAGCGCTAATGATTAGAAACAATGGTTATTCTGTCGATTTTTTAAACGATTACATATATGAAAACAACCGCGCATCGGGTCGAAGGCCACTTGTATTTTATCACTCTGCGAGTACGAATCCTAGACCGCAACCATGTCATTATTAGATAACTTGCATCTAGTACAAATCGATGAATTATGCATATCCGCATAAGACGTCGCGTTTTCCAAATCCTTAAATCTAAACATGTAAAAGGATTATTAATATTATTATAAATATAAGTAAGTAAGTATGGAAAAGAACGGGTGTGTGTGTATTCTCTTTACAACACTTCGAACTTGATGTCGTTCTCGACGAGCTTCTCGATCATCGATGTGCGGGCGAAGGCTGCAGCCGGCGGATAAACGCCTCCGCTGAAAAGAAAAATTAATGAAACAACTAGGAAAAGAATATGAAGAAATTGGTTTACTTGGAAGGCAATTTGGTGGGCTCGTTCAGGATCATTATACCGGAAAGGATGAGCATCACGTTGGTGGCGTAATAGCCGGGGTTCCTTCCGCTGATCCGAGCCTTGATCTTCTTGTCGGGTCGAGTGGTAAATTGGTCGTCGGCTTCGGCCAAAGTCTCATCCCAACCTTGACCCAGAATCGTGATAGAGAACAGAGTGTGCTCGACCTTCTCGTAAGTCGGACCGCCTTTGGTGACATGTCCAAAAGAGAAGATGTGCGGATACTGAAAAACAAAAAAAAAATCATTAACGGATTGCAATTACTAAAATAATTAAATTTACATCGAGCAACCATTTCCTTCCAAGCTCGAACTTGCACAGAACGGAGAAAACCAAACCCAGGATCGCCATTCCAACGACCGTCAGAATTGAATCAACGCAGAAGTAAGTGTTGATCTGCACCGGACGTTTTTTCTCGTGTTCGTAAAAGTACCTCTGGGAACGCCTCACCACCGAACGATCGGATCCCATGAACGGTAAAGACCATTTATCGTTGAAATCATTCTTGTGAATCACGCCTCTGCAAACAATAAATACGAGTTCATTGCACCGAAATTGTCGATTAAACAAACATAATACCTTGACTTTAAAGAAGGCTTAAACTTGGGCAACTTAGTTGCGTAGAGCTTGGATCTCAAATCTTTGAGTTCGTCGCCGTGTGCGAGACCGTAAACGGCGGATTCCCAAGTGCCGTAGTTGATGGTCGGTCCCGGCCACGGTCCGCCCTCCTCGCCACCCTCCATGTACGTCTCGACCGAATGCAGAGTACCTTTGAACTTCTCAGAGACGAAGCATGTGCCCATATCGCACGGGATACTGTCGTAACCGCAAGCGCCCACAATGTAAACGCCCTTCTCCTTCGCTTCCTCATGATACTTCAGTTGCATCTTCTCCAAAAACTGAGGCTCTCCGCTAATATCGACGTGATGCGTTCCCGATTCGATGCAAGCTTTGATCACCGGTTCACCGTAGAAACGGTACGGACCGCAAGCGTTCAAAACGATCCGGCATTTCGCAGTCATCTGCTTAATCGATTCCTCATCTTTAACATCTGCTATGATGATTGGCACATCGGAGAAATCGTTGTCTGGAACGTAGCAATGCGTTTATAAATAGAACGGACGGACGTCGATTACCGTGTATACAGGGTATTGACATTTATTGGGTATTATATGCACACTCACCACTCAGTTTGCCCATCTCCTCCAGGACATCCTTCAATTTCTGCTCAGATCTGCCAGCTACACCCCAGGTCAAGCCACCATTCTCCTCCGCAAGCTTCTTCAATGTTTTCAGGGCGTTTTTACCAGTGAAACCGGTTGCACCAAACAAAATCATATCCAGTTTGGAAGCCATTGCAAAACCTGTACTCAAACAGTGATATAATTTCAATCTACAATAAAACGTCTATTTCATCACTGATAATGATGGAAAACTACATAAGCATGAAGTCCAAAGATTAATTGCTTGATAAAACTATATATTTACTATCTAAACATTTACAATATTTCTCATTTACATACTTAATTCAATCTAATTCAATTATTATTGTAATAAAGAGGTGCACTTACTTTGCTTTGTGAAATTCTCGATGCAAGTGGAACGGAGTGGATCAAAAGCCGGTCAGGAACAGTTTGAAAAATTTGCGTCGTATCGCTGATGGCTACTGATGGCATATGTCAGATTCATTGTAATTAATTGTCATAATTGTTAATTTGTTTTCAAAAACTATAGGAAACGTAGCAACAATTTCTCAATTTTATTAACATTTCTGTTTTTAAATACACGATAAACTTTGTTTTCTATTCAAACCAATACATTTTCTATTGAAAAGAAATCAATAAAATAAACAAATTGATGGACAACAAGTTTGTAGACAACCAAATATGCACCTAACTTAACAGAAACTTTAACTTTGAATTATTTTAATGTATTTAAATTATTTTAATTGCATTTATATATATACAAATTACTTCAGAGTTTTGGAAATTGATTTGTAATTAGTCATTTTCTCGTTTAATTATTCATAAGAATGTAATTAATAAGAAAAAAAATGCAAATTAGAAACATTATATATAATAAATGCATAATTTTAAACTTGAATTGCTTCAATTTAATTATTTGTAGCAATTATTATTGGAATATTAAATTATTGTCGTTGCCGATCAGTTTATTATCATCTATTGTGTAACTAATATGTATATTTGTTAGATCTAACACTTTCCTTTTAATTATTACAAAGCATATTTCACGTATATATTAAATATACAAACAGACGTTGCGTCTATTGTATCACCACTTAACAGCATTATTCAGCCCCTCAATATTTGGGTAGGATTATAAAACTTAGATAAAGTAACGGTTGTATTTTCCACAAGCCCAAAAACTGATTTCCTTACCTTCCCACACAGCCCCTTTTTTGAAATGAACACATTTTTGTATTATATAATCTAGTCTTAGCCAGTCTTAGCTAGAGGGTTGAACTGAGAAGTTGAAGAGTCCAAGGAAGAGCACTTACTTCTTAATTACTAACTAAAGAGAAGAATGTAACTCTTAGTTAATAATCCATGAGATCAACTATTGTATAGTTGACTTCTCAATAAAAACTCTAATGTGTATAATAAAACTAATTAAGAAAATTGCATTTAATATTCATAAACTCCTCTAAAACTCCATAACTACGAGATAATCCACAGTGTCCAGAGTTTTCTTAATCCCAGGACAAGAAAAAATGATGTCAAGTTGTTTAGGTTTATTTATAATCCATCGCTAAAAGGGACGTTATCTACATTCATTAACAAACATTATTGTCTTGTAGATGGAAAACTGCAGAAAGTATGATGAAATCCTACTATTTACTACTTTTATATGTGGATTTTGTTTAACAATATTGATTTCACGAATGTATTTTCTGATAGTTTCAATATCTTCTTCAGGTGTTAAATATATGTAACTTACCTCCCACACAGCCCCTTTTTTTTTTAAATGAACACATTTTTGTATTATATAATTTAGTCATAGCTAGAGGGTTGAACTGAGAAGTTGGTCTTACTTGTAGAGTCCAAGGAAGAGCACTTATTTCTTAATTACTAACTTAAGAGAAGAATGTAACTCTTAGTTAATAAACCATGAGATCAACTATTGTATAGTTGTGTGTATAATAAAACTAATTAAGAATATTGTATTTGATATTCCTAAACCCTTCTAAGACTCCACAATGACATAACTACGAGATAATCCAGAGATTTCTTAATCCCGGGACAAAAAAAAGATAAGTTAAGTTGTTTAGGTTTATTTATAATCCATCGCTAAAAGGGATGTTATCTACATTCATTAACAAATAGTATTGTCTTGTAGATGGAAAACTGCAGAAAGTATGATGAAATTCTACTATTTACTACTTTTACATGTAGATTTTGTGTAACAATATTGATTTCACGAATGTATTCTCTGATAGTTCCAATATCTTCTACAGGTGTTAAATATATGTAACTTAATTCCCACACAGTCCCCTTTTTTGAAATGAACACATTTTTATATTATAAAATTTAGTCTTAGCTAGAAGGTTGAACTGAGAAGTTAGTCTTTGTTGAAGAGTCCAAAGAAGAGCACTTACTTCTTAATTACTAACTTAAGAGAAGAATGTAACTCTTAGTTAATAATCCATGAGATCAACTATTGTATAGTTGGACTTCTCAATAAAAACTCCAATGTGTATAATAAAATTAATTCAGAATATTGCATTTAATATTCATAAATTCCTCTAAAACTCCATAACTACGAGATAATCCACAGTGTCCAGAGTTTTCTTAATCCCAGGACAAGAAAAAAATGATGTCAAGTTGTTTAGGTTTATTTATAATCCATCGCTAAAAGGGACGTTATCTACATTCATTAACAAACATTATTGTCTTGTAGATGGAAAACTGCAGAAAGTATGATGAAATTCTACTCTTCACTACTTTTAAATATGGATTTTATTTAACAATATCGATTTCACGAATGTATTTTCTAATATTTTCAATATCTTCTACAGGTATTAAATATGACTTCCACACAGCCCCTTTTTTGAAATGAACACATTTTTGCATTACATAATTTAGTCTTAGCTGGAGGGTTGAACTGAGAAGTTGGTCTTACTTGTAGAGTCCAAGGAAGAGCACTTACTTCTTAATTACTAACTTAAGAGAAGAATGTAATTCATAGTTAATAATCCATGAGATCAACTATTGTATAATTGACTTCTCAATAAAAACTCTGATGTGTATAATAAAACTAATTAAGAAAATTGCATTTGATAATCCTAAACCCTTCTAAGACTCCACAATGACATAACTACGAGATAATCCAAAGATTTCTTAATCCCAGGACAAGAAAAAAATGATAAGTTAAGTTGTTTAGGTTTATTTATAATCCATCTCTAAAAGGGACGTTATCTACATTCATTAACAAATAGTATTGTCTTGTAGATGGAAAACTGCAGCACGTGAAAGTATGATGAAATTCTACTTTTACATGTGGATTTTATTTAACAATATTGATTTCACGAATGTATTTTCTGATATCTTTAATGTGTCTATAAGAAATCTTTTCAATATCTTCTACAGGTGTTAAATATATGTATGAGTTCACGTATCATCTATACATGTTTATTAAACGACAGGTATTTACATTTTCTTTAATCTATAAGGTCCACAATATATCTTACACATTTAAAAAATAGTTATATATTTATATCTTGTATGTTCTTCATATGGAAATATAAATTTTAATATATTTTTTATCTTCTTTTTGTTATATGTTTTTGTTCGTTTACTTGTTATACAACCAACGGCAACTGTGATTTTTTTCGAATGTACGTGTTGTTTATTGGTTTTTGTTTCTCTCTTCCAAATGATTATTATTACGTAAGTTCATTAATATTGTCTAACAATACGCTCCATATACATATATATGTTTTACGACATCCATTAAGTAAGTAGAAAGAACAGAAATAAAAATAGAAAGTGAAAAACGAGAAATAAAGAAAATAATAAGACATAAAAAAATCGTTTATAAAATGCAGATACAATATTATAATACAAATAAAATTAATAACTTTCAATAAAATTTATCACAAAAGAAATACAATATAGTTTATTTATTTGTTTTTGTTGTTTTTTTTTATATATATTTAATATCTTACTCTCTTACACACATCAAATCAACGTTTAATAAATATAATATGCAAAGTATATATATTAAAAAAAAAGAACAATCAAATAAAAGTTTTTGTTAAAAATAATTAAATAAATTAATTGCACGCGTTTGTTAAAACAAAACAAATAATAATAATTGAAAATAATAACACAATATTATTATTATTACACACATATAGGTTTCGATAGAGTTCTTCCAACTACATTCGCTAATATATATATTTTTGTTATAGCATTAGACATCTGATTATATACATAATATTTAAAAAAAAATATAATAATAAAACGAAAGTAATACAGATTTTAATACTAAACGAATATTCTTTCTCTTCTTTTACATACATACATATATATATTCCATATCTACAGGTCAATACATTTAATCACGATTATACATACATATATTTTTTTTCATATAATATTTAGATATGGAGTTATACATATTCATTAATTATTTGGATTTCTACTGGTTGTTTTTACTTATCTGTTTTCAAGAGGGCGTAACAGCTTTGGCACACCCTCACCGGTTTCAGGATACGCAAACGGGATATCTCGCTTTCGAAGCGGCTGCATTTCGAGCAGAAAACCTGGCCGCAGTTCCTGCAGTGATGCTTCCTTTCGTAGATCGTGAACTTGACGTTGCATCCGGCGCAGTAATCGGCACCTTCGTCCTTCAGCCAATGGTCTGCAGCTCTTCCCGGCACTTCGCAGACGCTCCAAGAGAACACCCTTCCTCTTGCGTCTCCCACGTAAACAGTGCGATGATCCCTGAGAAGAAAGGTTATTGATTATTTAAGATTGTTTTTTTGTTGGACTTACTTTGAAACTGCGAGGGCTGTAATTGACGCTGGTTCGGCGTTGTCCTTTCGATCGTAAGCCGTGTGCATGGTCAACTTGCTTCTGAATACGAGTTGCCTCTGCCATTTGAAGCCGGAGCGAAGGGCGTGCAAAGGATTCGTCGCTTTCTTCTTAATCTCCGAGACCATAATGAACGAATCGGTGAGACTCGTATCCGATTTGCTCGTTCTAATTCCGGATCCGTCGTCCACGTCCAAGCTGTCGTTGTCGGCGCTGTTTCCGCCTGCAACAATACACGTATTCAGACTTAATTACAGTAAGCTACAGTTAAGCACCTTCACTTTTCGTGAGTCCGACGTGAACGCGAGATCTGCGTCTTCTGACCGGAACCGGAGGCTTGGATGCCTCCTCGGTATCGCTGCAAGTCTCCTTCTCGTCCTCCAGCTCGGTCCTCCACTCTTTGGAGCTGCTGCACCCGTCTAACTTCGATTTAGGCGAGTCAGTTTTGCTTCCATCCGAAAGACTGTTCTCGGAACCGGATTTCGTCAACGAGCACGAATCGTGGAACACGTTCACTTGCTTCACGAGCCTATTATGCAACGGCTTATGCTCCTCCGAGTTTTTGTGAGTGGGAGTACTCTTCGCGCTGCATCCCGCTTCTTTATCGTCTTGCGGCACTTGCACATAATCCATAGACCACATCTGAAACCAACATATTTATAATCTTCTGCAAATCATCAATATACTTGCTTACCCTAGCAACTCCATCAGTTGAACCAGTCATGATGACATTAGCTGCGTCCCATTCGTGAGTTTGCGAGAAGGCAACGCACAAGATTTGCTGCATTCGATCGGCGGTTCCCACGCAAGTGTTAACGCAAGCCAATTCATCACCGTTTATGCTCCAAACATGCAGCCAAGTTGCAGCGCAAGTCGCAATATCTCCCTAAAATTAAAACCGCAATCAAATAAAAGTACTATTGTTTAAACTGCAATAATTACTGTTAAATCATTTACGGCCACTGCGGCTACGGGTCCAGCATGACCTCGTAACTGCCTGACGAAGAGACCTCTCGATAAATCCCATACGATTGCTGTGGAATCGCGCGATCCAGAGATGATGACATTGTAGACTGGAGAAACTGCGAGGCAAGTGACTGCTTCGGTGTGCGCGTACAAACTATGCTTGATGCTCAGTTGCTTCTTGCGAGCCTCGTATTCCCAGATGGAAACCACCTGGAAATAAAAGATACAATTTTAATTCTGTAAAATCTCGTTAAAACGTAGATACTTACCGAACTGGTGCCTGCAGTCACGATCATTTTGGATGAGGGACAAACGCAAGCTACAATTTCTCCACTGTTTTGCACTACAGTTTCGCTCACGAAGATGGCTTTGTCGCTGTCGTAATGACCGATGCGCAAAGAGTGATCGGCGAAACCCCAAGCGACGTATTTGTTGTACGTTGGTGGGATCAGCACTTTGTTTTGTTCGACAGCCAAGACGGTTTTATCCATGTGCAAAATTTGTCCAACTGGGCTCTTCACCTCTGAAAAAGAACATAAGATTCATTTATAGTAATTCATATATAACGTTAGATGATTTAGTTTACCTTTAATTGGTTGTAATGAAGGTCGAAGATTGTCTAAGTGATGGAAGAACAACCTTTCAGGTGGTGGCAAACTGAAGGCTTGCACCAGAGCCCCGGTATCGATGACAGAGCTTCGGTTGTTTCCGCCTCCCATCTTCTTGGATGGATGTGGCTTCTTGAAAAGCTGCTTGGGTATTTGTCCGAAGTTATTTATGAACCCGATGGTGGCGTTTTTCTTCAGAGGATCGTCGATGCTGAAAGCGAAACTCTAAATTGAAAAAGATAAATATTAAATAAACAACTGACTTGTAAATATCGACGTTGCCTTCGTAGAACAGATGATGGAAAACGTTAACAGCGTCGACCGCTTGCATTCCTTGCTGCTTATACCCAAAGATCAAATCGATCCAATGGTGTAGATGTTGCGAGACGTAATCGCATTCCAAGGCCATGCGATGAGCTCGGATGAATTCGCGTGGATCCTGCTTCGCCCACGGTGGTAAAACCGTGTCTCCAAGATAGACTCCGCTTTGTTTGGAGCCCAAATCGAATTGGTTGGAATTGACGAGGAATTCGGGTAAATAGAAGAATTCCGGGATAAGTTCTTTGACGTCAGCCATGTTGTGCTTCGAGGCGGAGTACCAGGCTTCTTTTATAGAGTGGAACATCCTGTCGGCAAGATCGAAGTGACCTCCTTGTAACCTCAAGAAATGTTGCGTGAATGGTTCCATTCGCACTAGGTACGAGCAGACAATCATCGCGCTCGAGTAATGCGTTCCGTAATGGTAAGGAGGCGTTTCTCCGTGCGGATCGTCCCATTCCTTGAATCTCTTCTTGAATTGCTCCAATCGTTCGGGACTTTGAGCACCCATCGGTTTGGTAAAGTCGCGGAATGTGCTTGGATCGTTCAAATCCAACTCTTCGCTGTCGTAATCGGCTAGGATCCAGGGGAATACTGGATATTGCATTAGATCGTTATACGAACGACCGGCCAAGGTGTTCAAATGCATCAAGTATTGGAAATTGGAGATTTCTCCACGCTGAAAATTATTATACATTTAAAATGAAACAAATTCAAGAAAACACTAGATAAATGTGTAAGAAATAAACTTACCACCCATCGTTGAGTAACACTAGTTTCCCCGATCAAATTCGATAAAATTCCAGCTGCTTGTTCGACATTGGCAGTCCTTTTCTGTCCGGCGACGGACTGTTGTGCGTTATCTGCTATACCCGTTGCGGTTGCCATGAATCTTTGATAGACCTTGTTCCTGACCTTCCTGGGGAAAGCAAGTAAATAATTCCTTCCGTCACGCGAGAACACTTCCAAAGCCATAGGTTGCAACAGATATCTCCTCTTGTGCACCTCCCTGCAATCAACAACGAATCATTTATTTACATCTTTACAATCCACTGTAAACCTTAACCTTATGTCCTCGTAAGAGAATTTGGAGCACTGCCTCATAGACCTAGACCTTCTGGGTGATCCGGGATTCGGTAATATCGGTTCATATCCGTGCGGCGCAACAGCTTCGATATCTCTGATCTCTCTGCTCTTCAGCAAAGTGAACCCATCCACAACGTAACAATGCTCTTGTCCAAAGAGCAATAAACCTTCCATCGTATCTAAGCCTTGAATGCGAGCGCACCTGAACATGTAAGAGATCTTCTCATTCTCCTCGAGAAGCCTCAATACTGTTTGTATATCAGGAGGAGGTTGCTGTTCCTCCTCAGTTTCGGCATCATCTTGTTGATCATCCGGATCGGATTTGAGACGAGCCAAATGTGGCAACGTTTGCATAGTCGGTATGGGACTAGCTTCTTCACAAATACTATCCGCTCGTTCGAGATCCGATAATCCGCTAACTCCGTGCAATTGCCGTTTCTGCACAGCCGTAAAGTACTCTTTGCTGTGATGGCTAGTCGCAACCTGAGAACCAAATTACAATTTAGGCCTTAATTATATATATGATTAAATATAAAATACTTTATGTTTGAGAAGTCCCTTCTCGTATTCGGGTCTGTATGGATAATGTAGGTAAAAGAGATCGTTTTTCATTGTTTTCTTGCGCATCCTATGAGGTCCCTCAGTCATATCCAGCATCCATTTGTCCAAAGAGCAGGGAAGAGGAGATCCCCACAATCCTCGTTCTCTGGTCAACTCTGTTTCTGTTTGCAGCCATTCTTGATGAACGTATCGTTGCATGTGCTGCGCCATGGTCGTATGTTGATTGCGTCTAATTTCCGCTAATTCTCTGCGAAACGAATCGTTCAATACAAAATGTAATTCCATCCAAAGCAATATACTCACTTTATTAAACTGATATGAGTAAACACCGAAGACATGGCTCGTTTCCTGTTCACTTTCACTGTTATCTTAGCGATATCATCTTTTCGGACTTTGGTCCTACTAGCTAATCGAGTTAATCCGCCTGTAACTTTATGGATTTTAGATTGGATTTGGTTTTGTAACTCGGATGGAACCCTATAGCTGGCTTTCCTTTCTGACTCGATGTAATTAAGCCAAACTTTCATCGCTGCTTCGAAGATCTGTTCTCTGACGATCGTTAATTCAGGGGCTTTAGATGTGGGAGAGGGTGCTACCAATGTGATCTTGAAAACCTCTTCAATCGCCGGTTTCTTGCACACATACAATTCCTCCCAGACTCTTAACGCCGCTCCGGCCATCAAATTTCTACCTTGATGTGCGTTCAATTGATCGTCCTGTGATTCTAAATCGCTGCTCGGATTCACGTGCCATGTAGTTCTCATGTTAACATCTAACATGATCTTCATGTCAGCGGTTAACTGCAACAAACAATAGGACAGACACCCGACGAAATCCAATTCGTGATTTCCAGCTCCGAAGACGGTGAGCCTATTTGTAGTCAGTTTGTGCAAAGCCTCGAGCACGGACATCTGATCGGCGATGTTATCGGTGGGTCTGGAGAGTAAGAAAAGAATGCTGCGATTCAAGCAGTGATAAAGGCATTCCAACACCAGATTTCCGGACCGTTGTTTCGCCTGTCCGATAAGTTTAACGATGAAATCGAATACTTCGTGAGGATCTTTGTTGAGAATGCCCTGCCACAGTTTATCAACGATTCTCGATGTTAAATAGAAGACGTTCGGAGCGACGTGCTGCACGTGAGCGTTCGGTAATGGAACAATCGGGATCGCAGCTTGATCCCCAACCAGCATATCGGCAGCCAAGAGATGATCCATCAGAGTTACCAAAATCTCCGTCTGATACGAAGACTGTTGAGTGATGGACGAGTTTTCCGGATACGCGTCCAACACTAAATCGATAACTGCAGACTTTCCAGACATGTTCAGACTCAGCGAATCCACGACGATTACCCGGATGAAATCGATGACGAATTGTCGTGCGGGATGTGTCGTTAAATTGGATGGTTCCGTGGGTGATCTAGGTACCATCACGATTGTCTCGCATTCGTCGGGAGTCGAAGCTCCGCTGCTGTTGCTGCTCTCCGGATTCACTGGAGTGAATATCACTCCGGCTAAAGCGGAGAGGACTTCTGCGGACATGAAGATTGGCATGAATTCTGGCATGTTGTGGTAAAGTTGGAACAAAACTTGGATGATCGATATAGAGTGGTTCTTCAAAGGGAACGGTAGAACGTTTTGGTCACTGTGCACCATAGTTCTGGCCATCCCTAGAAGAGCCACGATGGCTTCCGGACAAAGATTCACTCTGGGGGCGATGCTGCTAACTGGTTGGTTATTAACAGAAGTACCCCAAAGGAAACTCCAAACTGTATCCAAATCGAATTTGGATTCGCTGGGCAAATGCTTGGCCGGTTGCCCCATGACTAGAGCAGTAAGTAAATAGTATATTTCTGAAATTTCAACTTGGGATGGCAGAAGCCATCCCAAGTATTGGAACCCGGGCACGTGCAGCGTTTCGGCTTTGGCATCCGGCGAGGAAAACGATGAGGTCTTTATTTGGTAGCCCAACATCATTGACATCTTGCTGTGCGTCACAAGTTCCGTGTGTCGTAACCAACCGCCGTTACTGTTGCCTTCTCTAAAACTATAGCAGCAATAATGAAATTGGATTCTTTTGAAAGCAAAATATCAATTTACCGATTAAGCAATGCAGGAACGGAGCACATGACCACGAGAATGCGCATTCCTAAAATGACTGTGCTGGAATGCAGATTGGGTTGCAGGAAGAGCAGAATCCAATCGTAGCCCAAAGTTTTGGCCAATTCATCGCATACCATCAAGCTCACCGCATTCTTGCTAGTGAACAGGATGGTGTGTATCAGTGTTAAGCATCTGTTTCGCAACAAAACATTTTCATCTTCGATTTCCCTTTCGAATCGATCCATCGTTTGTATGGGCAATGTAGAGGCCACGAATTGACCGTACCAAAGAAGATCGCTCTGCTTAGGTTGTCCAGTCAACAGCGTGGTTAATAACGAAAAGAGTACTTGGCGAGTAGCGAAGTGCTTAACTTCTGGTGTTATATGCAACAATTTCGTTACCAAGTTCAAATCACGCATCATCCAAGTATTGTTTCTCTTCTCGCTGCATTCCGCTGCCAACTCGTACAAATGCTCCAAGTGAGAACGCAGTAGCTCTCCCGGAGCTTCATGCCATACATCAAGATCACATAAAAGATCCTAAAATAAACATAGTAAGTTTAATTAATAAATATGAAGTTAATAATTTACCTGAAAAGCTGGGACGTTTGGTATAGTTGAGGTTTCGCGTCCGCTGTCCACTGTTCCGACCAAACTGAACGCCAAATGCAAGATGTGCGAGTTCAGTAAAGGTTTCTTGCGCCTCAAAAGCATCGCCAAAGTTTGATAACCGCGTCTCTTGTCCATTTCTGCTTGAGCAACCGAATTACTCCGTACGACGCACACCAAAGCCTTGACACTGGCGTAGAGGCTTTCTATATCTTGAGCCATGGCTATCAATCCTAATAATACTGAACAACCACCCACGGAATCCACCTAAAGTGAAAAGCGTTTCAATCATAAACAGTAAAACAATAATTAGAGCTACTCACCACAGTCACCACCGGCCTCGGACAAAACACTCTAACTCCAATATAACCAATAACGACACCTCCTAAACTCCTCGACGATCCGGCCAAGTGTCCAGCGCTGTTATGCAAGATCCTTATAGGAGTTGCGTTCTCGTGACTGGACATCCCCAATTGTTTGGCAATTGATTTGTTATCGGTGCGGCTGTACACTTTGCGAATCTTGCTCAAAGTTAATTGCGAAACGGCTTTGGCGTTCAGTCCGAAGATGACCTTCTCCTCGCTGACGAATTGGATGAGCTCCGAGTTCGATCCATTCGAAGGCGCTTGAAAAGAGCCCATATAGTGTGGTCCCAGTTGGTAGATTTGGTTGACCGTAGTCGGATTCAAAACCTGAGGGAATGAGATTAAATTTGATGGACTTTGTGAATAGGATTTAGTTACCTCTTCGACTAAATGGCATGGACCTTGCTTCCAGCAGAGCTTCGAGTAACGTCTCCAGGCGGGCGGTGTTCCTATGAATCCGTAAACCGAGGTTGCCACCGTTAAATTAGTGCTTCCTCCTCCGGGATTCTGCGAGATGTAATGGAGCTTATGCGACTGCATATGTTGTCCATCCAGATATAGAGAGAACGACGAGTTTTTCAGTACTGCTCGATTGAGAACTACTACTAAATGATGCCACTGGCCCTCCTGCAGGATATCCGGACACCATACTCTTGTACCGTGTTCTCCCGAACCTTCCGGTTCCCATTCTCCGACATCTGTAATGATTCGGTTTATTATGAACAAAGCTACAGATGTTATCTAGAAATACGGAATGAATAGGAGTTGAGTTAATAAGTGTTAGGAATAATGATGACGTTGATGCAATCTGTACACAGAAAAGGAGGAGATTGGATTACGAATTGATGGGCAAAGGAAACTTAAAGGGCAGAAAACGATCATAAACATCGGGGGAATCGAAGGTGTTGCCATTTACGAGGAACGAAAACGGGGTTAATAGATCCACTGAAGTGAAACCAGTTAAAATCTATAAATAAATCAGGCTCCTTCGCAGAAAGAGATAAGGAAGAAATCGAATTGAAGGCGCATTTCCTACAAACTTTAGGTGTTATCACTGTAACATTGATGTAATAAAAAGTATAAATACGAAAGTGAACTAAAATCTTTCAAATTTAATTAAAAAGAAAAAAATATAAAGTAAATCTGTGAATAAACATGAACGACGATGGCGCGTCGTAGATTTTAATTAAAGTTGAAAACAGCAGATTCTGCTAAATGAAATTTCTAGGAATAATATGAATTCCGAAGAAAGCATCTTCCTTTGGCTTCGAGCAAGGAAAACTAGCTTTTTTTTTGTAATTTGTCTAAACGCTAAATTTATATAAAATTGAATTTCATGTTTTATGAAACGAAACATATATTATGGATATGTATGTATTGTTGTTGTTAGTTGAGGTAAAGCATTAGATGTAAATGATTTCGATATTGATTATTAAAGTAACTTACGATTAGGTATGTGGGTCTCTTGGGTGGAAACAATGATGGCTTTATCTCTGGCCGAGAGGACTATGGATAAACAAACTAGATGATCATCTTTGGCATTATTCAAACTCCTCAGCAGAGTCAGCAATCTCACGCAGTGCGGATCTGTGCGAGGATCGGAGAACTTGTCGACGCATATCCACGTGGAAAACGTGAGACCAGTTTGCGGTGGGAAGATCCTGTCGCCTGCAATGTAATGAGCGTAACCGTGATTAAATTTAATTAGTTCTACTGGACGTAATTGAAGTCGTCATTGTACCTGCACCGATTCCACCCAGGATAGCGTTATCTATGCTGACTACGCTCGGGGCGTTCGGGGATTGCGGAGCGATGCTGGGCAAATACAGGCAACCGAATCCTTCGGCGCTCATATCGAACTCGACGAAGGGCGGTAACATGCATATGCTTTGCGCCCTGAAGTCTTTGGGTGTAGTCATCGATACGATTGTCTTGATGCGGGTCAAAGGGACCGGACCGCCTCCCGCCACAGCGGAGCTCAATGGTAAACACGAGAGTGGATTCCCGAGACGCAAGAAATTACGTAAATCCGTAGGTTCGAGGGCTTGAGCCGCTAGTCTTTCCAGCATGTATTGGAGCGGCGAATGCAGCGGATGATTCTCGTTCTGCAGCGGAACAGAGCCGATGGTCAGCAGATGGTTGACGAAGCCGCTGTCGCACATGATTTGCTGGTTTCTTTCGCTTCGCACCAACGATTTTATGATCTCCGCTACGTAGTACTGAAGGGCCAGGCACTTTGATGCATCCTCCTGAGACTGCAGAATTAAATTTGCAACAGTTAGAGTAATGTGAGCAGTTAAACTAATTATGAGTAATACCTCGAGGCAGGGCAGAAGCTGCAGCATGACGACAACGACCCCTGGATGCACGATAATCGGATCGGGCGTCGGCGGATTTAAATTCAAAGAGTTCACGGCTGAACGCTTTCCGTAACCCGAGCTGTTTGACTGGAATTCACAATGCGTTTAAAATGTTTAAATTATTTCGTGTGCAGCAATTTGATGCTTACTCGCTCCATGGACACTTGCTTCGACAGCGAAGGGGTTTTGGTCAAGTTCTCTGCGGATAAATTCGGTTTATCAAAAAGGTCTAAAGCTACGTCGTAAAGTAATCGAAAAATCATCGTAGCGTACGCCAAAGTGCACGGTATATCGTCTGGAATCCTGAAATCATTTAATTAATTAATTGTCTTAAATGCAAATAAATTAGAATGTATAGAAATAATTACTCTGGGTTGATGATGTTGCCAATGAATAGATTATGATATAAATCCTGAAAGTCCGAGTTCGGAGCCTCCTCCTTGCTATCGCTGAGCTGATCGACTTTGTGTGTGGTAAAACACCCGAGGAGCCTCAAAGTATCACAAAGGCTTGTCATGCATATCTCGTGGTAAAAGAACTTGGCGTTCGCCGGTTCGAAGCGCATCGCCGTGCTTATTGTGTAAAATACGATGTTCAAGAGCGTTAATATCTCGACGTTCGGTTTCCTGATTGTCAGCTTTCCTTCCAAAGCAACCAAAACGCTCGTAACGTAAATGAATCCGTTGACCTAAATACAAATGGATCATAAAAAAAGAGACTAAATGAAGAAAAATAAAACAGACCTTTCTGAAAACAGTTCGCGTTCTATGCGAATCCCTCAGGCACAGCAAGAGAGCTTTTAATACGTCAGTCTTCAACTGCAATTGATTACGCGACGTCGAGTGCAGAGTGCCTAAAAGCTGGCTCATATCCTCCTCTCCGCCAGTCGAAACCACGAGTTCTCTAATAATACCTGCAAATATACAAAATAAAAACACTGAGTACTCAGTTTAATTGATTCATTTGGATAATTACCTAAAACGTTCTGTCTGCATTCGGAGAACGTAACCAGCTCATGCAGACATTGCGCTCCGCCGGATTCCCGCAAGACATTAGCGTTTGCGGTGTTCGCGCTCAACAGCGTTGTCAGAATTTCTATCACCATTGATCCAAATCTCTCCTGTTCCGTCGATAAGTTGTATTCATTTCCACAATCGTGTGCTTTTTTGCGGATCTTCAGCAAATCTGTGTATCGGTTCAGACAAGTCACGAAGACCTCCAGCATACCGACCTCACGATACACATCTTTGAAGATCACGTTGTGCTTGAGCACGTTCATCAGCACTCTGATGCACTTGATGCTGCAGTCTACGTGGTTGAGGCTGTGCGTCTTCAGGAAAATCGACATGGATATTAGCTCTTTGCAGGGGACAAAGTTCAATTGAAAGACCAGGAATTCGATCAGCTCGAAGAGTTTCTCCTGGATCTCGGGGGATTTGTAATGGATTTTTTCTAAGAATTGGCTGAGAGTATTTTGGTTCTCGAGGATAAAATAGTTGGCGTTGTCCGAATGATAGATGCTCGAGATGGCTTCCAGGATCGAGGCGCACAGTATCGGTGAGGATGACTTGATGAAGGTGGTCTGAAGGACGTGGAAAGCCTGGATGTTGCGAACGCTAGTCCCACGACCTGAGGGCTGTGGCAACGAGAATCCGTGCATCTGGAATAGAGAGCCCGTGGAGGCCTGAGACGGTTTCAGCTCCATAAAGCCGCACATGCAGAGAGACGTGACCATCAGCACTAAATTCCTGATGGCCTCCTGCGAATCGGTGGCTGCTTCGTTTTCGAGTCTGGAAGAAGGATTTCGGAATGTGAGCTTGGTCGTAGCGTGATCGCCGGTTTCGTACTTTAATAAAATATCAGACAGAAATAAATATCCTTGGGCTTGACGGAAATCGTCCAAAAGAACGGAGGAGACTTCGCTGGAGTCCTTGAGGAAGCAGAACACCGTGACGAACATCTCGACGAGCTCCAGAGGTGCCAGATCGGGCATACCTTGCATGTTATCCATGCAAATCGCCACGCAACCTTTCGCTGCAAATGTAATTGATTAATTCCAGCAGCGTAAGCTTCTTTAACCCAATTCCACTTACAATGGATGTAGCCGACGACGGGGGGCGAGAGGCCGTGCCGCGAGAGAGTCATCAATACTTCGGCGGCGCTCTTCCGCCACATGAAATTGTAGTGAGGACAGGGCGAAGTTATCGCCGAGAAGAGTAGAGTAAGATCGTCCTTCCTCGCCAGTTCCTCAGCAGGAACTTTGTGGCTGCACAGCCGCACCAGAAGCTGCACGAAGATCTTCTGCAACAGGATGCGACGTTCCTTCGGGGTGAAATCGCTGTTGGCATCCTTCCTGTTCGCTTCCTCGTCCGGAATCTCGGCCAAATCGAAGAACAGATACAAGCATTTCACCAGAGTCGACGGCACCGAGACCTCAGACATGATCTGCACTAGAGTCGAATCGCCCGCTGCCAGCAGATTTAAAGTGGATAGGAGCATCCAACCGTTGCTCGATTCCTCGCAGTTTTCGATCTCCAGGAATTTGGCAATCGCGCTGCTTGCGGCTACGGTGCTCTGGTTAGACGCTCGCTTCCTTATCTCCGACACCATCAATAGAGAGACTTGCAGACAAAAGCCGAGGATGTCCCAGAACTTTTCGTTCATGTCGCAGGACGGACTCGACCCGAAAACCTACGCACATCATTCTTCATATAAAAGACATTCAATTTCCTTTTCGCCTCTTTCTACCTTGCAGAACAGGGGAAGCATATTGTAAAGCTTATCCTCCTTCTCGGCTTCCGTCAGGGGATGGGGCGGATGCGTGTACTCCGAGAACAGCTTCTTCAGATGCATCATTCCTAACTGGGTGTGCGGTGACGTCGCCGCGCTCTCCAAAGACTCCTTGTTAGAGGCGGAGGATGCGGCGTTTGCCACACCTCCCCTCAGTTTTCGCATTATATTCATTTTGAATTTATTGTATCACCACCTAACATCCAATTTTATTAAACAACAATCTTATCAATATACAAATATATCATCATTATCAAAATTATGTAACAAATACATTTTATTAGGAAAAAAAAAATGACCAAATCAGTGATAGTTATATACTTAAAATAAATATGTTATAATAAGCAGATAAAGTAAAAACGATTCAGAACTGAGTTCGTTTATAAAGTGATTATGTTTATGCAACGTCGTTGCAAAATACTCATTACGTTAGCATTGGTTATAAAGCAGAATAGCCACGAACTATTACTCATACATCAGGTCTTCAAAGAGGAAAATACTTTTACGTAAACTGTCGCCAAACTATTTCAGCCAAATGTAATTAGTTCTAACTGAAACAAACAAAAACCCTAACTGATAATGACATTTCAATATTGTAAAACTTTTCAGTAAAATTACAATAAGTGATAAAGTTTAATTACAACGCAATAAGATGTAGATGTAAATATTTATAAAAGATGGCATCGAACTTGGTGATAATGTTGGTTCATCAACATTAGATAATACAACACAATTAACGCTTCTCTGTAATAAATGAATACAAATTTATATAATTTTTTTTTCTTGAATCGATATTATGAATAATTGATGAAAAGCAAGTAAAATGTTTATATAATTATACACGTTCACAGTATTGACAGGTCTGTTAAATTTTAATACGTCGAGGATGCAGATTATTCAGTAATTGTATACGTTTAATGTAAACACTTTGCGTATTATAGTTATGCATAGGAAATCTGATGGCAAATAAACATTATTAATGTAAATATCGATCGAGGTTGAAGTCGAGCTTAATGCATAAATTCATTTATTTTCGTATGTACCATCAAAATAGTGTAATTCGTAATAATTTTTAGCCCCCCCGTTTTTCTCGGAAACCACTGAACGCTCACAATTCACCGAATTCCCATTTGATTAAATCTTCCGTGAAACTCGTTACAAAGAGATTTACCTTTTTGCTGAAACAAATTTAGTTTCGTTTATTGATTAAACAATGATTCAAATATTATTAAAATATTATTATCTTTAGAAGAAAATGAAATAATGATAACTTTAAGACTTTAATCACTAGAAAATGTGCAAAGTGGTTAATTTAAGTGAAGTAGTCAATCTGTACTGAATCATATTTTGTAGGTTCGTAGATAAAATTGTGGAAAAAAAACAAGTAATGACAGCGATTAAAAACTTATTTATGTTCGAAATCGTACGCTAATTATACGCGCTTGCATAATTGAATGCAATTAGACACGGTAAAAGAGAAAGTCCGGCAGACGAAATTTAAAAAAAACAAATTACTTCATTGTATCAGGGAATAAAGTAAGGTGAGGGATTAACTAAATGTGGTGGCTGTGGGATTCGCGATAACAAGTGAATCGAATGAAGGCAATTGTTTATGATTATTTAAATGTTGTAAAGAAGGGTCTTGGAAGATTGTAGATTGGATCGAATTGGATGATGATGATGATGAATTGGAGTGTGGAGAAGACGGACATCCGCCCACGAAAATAAACAGTGAATTGGATAAAAGACGATGTATGTTTTTGTTGTATGTTGTAGATGGAGAATAGCGGACAGCCTGCTAGGGATATTTCATGCACATGGAAACAAGGGTATTGATTTTGATGAAGAGTTGACGAACTGAAAATTCACGTTAGCGCCCCTAGGTTTCGATGTCAAGTTGGAGAGAGCGGTCTTCTCTATATTTGCACCTACCATTCCAGGAGTCTTCCCTTCGGAGTCTTCAGTGGATTATTCCAGGTAGAACAGCTGACGAGACACTCCGCATCATCCCGATCCTCGTCGCACCGTGCACTACTGATTTCAGGAATCCATCATCCCCCCATGACCTTTTCATCCACCGCTACCGCTACTGCACATCCATGTACTCTATATATTTTGGATTCTCCGCTGCCCGCACGCATGAGCAATAAAACCGCGACTCTCCTTATTCTCGCTCTCAGCCGAGATATTCCTTCGGTGCGTTAATTCGCATAACCTCCGACCTCTGATTCACTCTGCATTTTTATTAACAATAATCGCCTTTATTTATACACATCGCTATCTATTATTGTCAACAATCAATTGCGGTGACCTCAACTCGTTGTTGCCCCACTGTCAACACTTGACAGTTCAATCGATTTTTTGACATCTGTCAGTTTGAATATTCAAACTATGCAACCGAATATACGCACGTGTTGTGAGTATTGCATATAACGTAACAATCGGATATAGTCTAAAACAGAGTTTCCTAAACTATGTCAGCTATTCACATAGTGAATACGTGAACTAAATTACTAAATATCGTGTGGCTATGGTTGCCTGTATCACAAAAATCTGATAGGAAAGGTCGTTGGTTCAATTCCGAAAATCAACAAAAATTTGTGGTGGCTGTTAAACCCGAAAGGGGTAGAAATAGGGCCGGAGAGATTTATATCAATAAATAAATTGATATAATCCTCTTTTAAAAAAAAAAAAAATTACTAAATGGTGAATGTGTTGATTATGTGTTATAACCTACCTTACAAAATATACAAGGTGTTTCATGAAAATTTCAGGATTTTCAGTTTGGGAAAATCTCGTCTATAAAATATTGTATTTACTAAAACGTACTTCAGTAATTAAATAATGATTATAATGTATAGTGTATAGTACAAATGAATGAACTAAATATATTATTACAAATTTAAACTTTTGAATAATTGGACAAACTTAATTTAAATAATTTCATTGGAGATCAAAGCAATCTAGATATTTGCATACAACTATAATCACAATAATTATTTCAAAATCAAAATTTTATTAATTATTTTCTGAGAAAATCTTTGTTTAAATTGATATAAATAACAAATTGAAATTACTATTAATTAACACAATTATTATTAGATATGCTTTAAAATTATAAGAAATAGAATGTAAAGTTTAAACTGGATTTATGAGACGATAATTAAATTTTGCATTAATCAATTATTATTTTATATATATAAAATGTGTACTTTCTAAATAATGCATCCATCCATAGATTATGAACTTTTTCATATAATTGTTAATTTCCTATAATAAAATATGTTGTAATTAGACAAAAAATAGTTTTTTTTATTAGTTTTACATTGAATATACATATACAAGGTGGCGCAAAAATAATGTCATAATTTGAATTGGCTGCCATTTTGTTATAAATGCAAAAAAAGAGATCTGATTTATTTGAAAGTGTAAAATTTCCACCTTCCGAGTCGATGCATAATTGCGCTCGTTTTACAGCATTTTCAATTGTTGCTCGCAAAAAATCTAGCTTCAATTGGAGATTTCTTCTTAAATGTTAACTTTTAAGACTTGCAAGGTTTGTGGTTTGTTGTGGTAAACGCGAGAAGACGACGACAGAATTCACGTTGCGTTAAAACAACAGACTGAAAATTTGTCAAAAAAAGAAGTAACAATAAATCCATGTTCTTGAGGTGTGTATCGCTCCATGGCTTATTGAAAACTAATTTAATATATATCTACATCATAAATGTCAAAGCACAGTGATATTTGGCGTCATCTGCAAAAATGGTAGTCAATTCAAATTATGATATTACTTTTGCGCCACCTTGTAGTGATATTCCACGTTGATAAATAGTTTTCAGTACTTATTAATCTTTACAAACTATGCAGTTTATCTATCATTGTTTTGAGCGGGATTGAAATAAAGTTCCCCAAATTACAAGATCTGAGCTATTGCCCTAATCAAAGAGTTATTTATGGAAATTAATATTTTGTCTTTGTCGTTTTTGAAGTATTATTTTTTTGTCTAGGTGTTGCAGGTATGAGTACTTTTTATAAACAGTTGATCCAATGAGCTTTGGTTTATCAATATATGTAATTGTATTAATCTCATCAAAATTAATGAGTAGTTTTATTGATAGTTATGATGTTGTAGGAATGAAAATAAAACTCTGTATAACAAAAAAAAACGTGTTAATCTCATGGATAATGGATTAAAATTAAAATTGTTGAGTTTGAGAAATTACCATGGGTCTTTGTTGAAAGTTATTGGTATTTTTTGAAGGAATGAAAAAATCTCATGGAAACTAATAGATTTTCTTTATTGAAACTTTTTGTTGTTGATGAATGTAGGAAAATGCTGTCTGGAAATTGTAATTTAATAATTTTCCCATAATGAAAGTTGATGAATTGATTTTTTTGTTGGTTTTTGGATGAGAATGAGGTTTGGGTTGCCAATGTATGTAAATGTATTAATCTCATCGAAATTAATGAATAGTTTTATTGAAAGTTGTGATGTTGTAGGAATGAAAATAAAACTCTTCATGAAATTGAGCTCTGTTTAACAAAAAAAACGTATAAATCTCATGGATAATGGATTAAAATTAAAATTGTTGAGTTTGAGAAATTACCATGGGGTCTTTGTTGAAAGTTATTGGTATTTTTTGAAGGAATGATAAAATCTCATGGAAACTAATAGATTTTCTTTAATGAAACTTTTTGTTGTTGATGAATGTAGGAAAATGCTGTCTGGAAATTGTAAATTTTCCCATACAGAAAGTTGATGAATTGATTTTTTTTGTTGGTTTTTGAATGAGAATGAGGTTTGGGTTGCCAATGTGGTGGAAGCGCAGCGTATCAAAACACCACCACCCTCAGCGGGTGCCCGCGCACAGGTTCTTAGGGGTTGGTTTTGACTCGGCTCGCAGTGAAAGCGAGAGAGAAAGAGAGTATCCTGCGAAACCCGCCACCCCCGCTAACCAAATAGTCCGACCGCGAGTCCTCCGAAGCAGCTAGTTTCATTTCACCTCCTAAGTCTCCTATTAGTGCTAGTCGCCGCTCTATTCCGTTGATTCTTATTCAGTTATTCCATAGCGTTTGCGGATGCGAGACGCTGCCGCCGCCGCGCGCGTAATTCAGACCAACGACGAAAGACCAACAACCACAACAACAAACAAGCAACAGTAGTACTACAGTTTTCACATGCAAATATTACAATATAAAGCTTTGCGAATCAAATCCGAAAGCGAGCGTCTCCGCAACTGCAACTGAAACATACATTATCGTATTCACACATGTGAGTATTCTGTTGTTTGGGCATTGAATTAATTAACGAATGTTTTAAATTGACTTTTTTTTTGATGTTATGTAAATGTATGTTTTTTCTTTCTTTCGTGAATCACTTTCGCGTGATTCAATACACTTCTTGTTAACTATTAGCTCATCATCATCATCATCATGATCCGCAGGAATGCGGCAATTGAGTTACCTATCCTGGGGTGGCCCAGGTGACCCCACGAATGGGATGAACGCTCACCGTGGAGAGCGAATTCCGGCGTGCTCTTGTAACTCAGAGAACGAGCATTATTCGCATCAATGCCACGTGAAGCGCGGCCGCATTTTAATTAAAAAAGACCAGTGGACCGAATGCTCCACTTGCCTAATTAATTTCGAAACACGTAACAGGGTCCAATCACTATCTCCATCTCTACACACAGAAACGTAACGAAGATCAAAGGCATCTCTGCTCGCTGATTCCTCGGATACGCCGTCATCGATCCTCTCGGTTTTGGTTATACATTGCGGTTTCACCACTTTCGTTCTTGTTTGTCGCCCCACGTTCGTCGCCTTTTTCTCCATCATTCCTTCCGTCTTAAACACCGAAAAACGATAATGTCCAGCAAAATAAATATTACATGTCCCATCGATCGCGCTACGCACGCAGCAGGTCAAGGATTCGCTTCCGAAAAAAATATAAAAAATTATAATAAAAAAGCGACTCCAATCCTGATGGCGATAAATAGCATCGTGATATGGGGTTTGGTTGCTTTCGGAAGTCGATGTTTCTGTTGGATACAAACATTGGTATAAGGTTGGAGGTCGAGGTGCATTTTAATGGGGCGTCGTCACGCGAATTTCGCTTTGTGTTTTTCTTTTCGGGGGCGCCGTTTCCTTCGCCCTTTATTTATGATCGCATGTCGGTTTCTATACCGACGACGACATTGGAAACATCGACTTTGAACTTCGTCGAAATTATGGATTTTCGCGACGCCATAAAGAACGAAGGAATAATAAAACCAGAATAAGCAGATCGCACTGTGAATCCGCCGCACGTGATCCGCATTAAGTGGCTACTTAACCAGGTGGATTGCGTAACGCGAAAGACAAGACCCACCGCCATTCATCATTGTTCTTCTCCAGAGACGATGCATTTTCGCTCGCAGTGCCATTTGATCCGCCGAAAGAGACGGGAATAAATCTTCTCTTCAGAGCGCAGAGCTAATTACCTAATTGATTTTTTTCCTTCCTCCTCCGGTTTTACCATTTAACTAATTAATTGCTTTTTCCAGACTCCGGCAACTAAGATTGCTTTTACTTTGGCAGAGCGATGGCATCGCGACTACTCATCCTCATCCTTGTGTGTTTTTTGCTCTTCTTTCACTCTGCTTCATGTTTCAACTTTAATTAAGTACAGCTTTCCACTCCTCCGAGAGAGAGAAACAAACGCCGGCTCTGTTCTCCACTTTTAAGCCAACTCTTTTTTCTCCTCTCTTTCTCTCTCTCTCTCTCTCTTATTTCTTAATCGAATGCTTGTTTTAAAACTATTCTTCCAACTGATTTATTATTCCTTTCAAACTACAATTGAGAATTAACACCTCGTATTGTATCTTTAATTGACTTAACTCATTAATAAAAGTATAATCTACTAATCCAATAATGCTATAAAAGAATTAAACAAAATTCTGCTCTCAAAAGAAAACTTTTTTATTTTCTCTTTCAGATCGTTTGCAATTCATTTTCCTGCACAATTTATATCATCTTTAATTTTCTTCACCTCAATATTATTGTAAAGTTAAAAGGAGATCTTAACTAGTTGAAATATTTCGTCTTCAATTTAACACAAAATTGTAAAAAGACATCTGTTAAGTGTATAATGTGATTCACACTATTTGTATTTACTGTATTTATACGGGTTTCTCTCTACCTGGAATAAACCATATGCTTTTCTTCTGTCATGTGGTTGACGTGGAGTTACTTAGAATATTTTAGCCGACTTTTTCATCGTAAGTCGTAAAAAAAAAATATAATATTTTTACTTAAAACCGCGATAACGCAATTATTCATACTCGAATATTGTAATTTCCGTTCATTATTGTATAAT